AGACATTAGTAAAACGTATGTGGCGAAGACAAGTAGTCACTCGTCGCAAATCATCTTTTCAAGATATGTCAAAAACATGTTGGAATCTCAAAATTTTCCAAAATCCATTTTATTGCACTAAACTTTATCTATTCACCATGCTATGTTGTTATTTTCCCATTTTTGACATTAAAATAACATTTTTTAATAACTTAGTAATAAACTTTGAAGGCTGATTTCTCAAACACTGTTCTTTAAACAGCTGTATGTTTAAACTCCTCTAACTTCATAACAAAATATCAGATTTATGATTCTTTTTCCATTTTATAACCTTCATTTTACTGCTTAACACTGTATTCTAATTAATAACTAAAAATCAATTTTTTCTGAGTGACTTGTTTGTCTTGTCTTTGCTACATATAGGCCTACTGGATGTGAAGCCATGGCCCGTAAATTGGAAGGCACGTATCTTAAACAACAAAGGAACATGCTTAAATATAATCAATAAATTAATGTGTAACATTTCAAAGTAAAAAAAAAAAAATTCATGTTATAGTAAACCATTAGGCCTAACTAGTGCGGAAATCTGATGGCACTCAGTAAACACAACAGGTGGGTATTTTACTGCCTTAATCTCTCTGAAACTCAAGCTATGACTGGGTCAAACAGGTTACATACAGTATTTAAATCTACTGGTAATTGGCCCACTTTCAACTTTCAAATAATTAAAAACACTTATTTTTTATTCTCTGAGAAATTAAATGAGATCTACTTGATATTTTGTTCAAAACATTCTCAGCAAAGCAAAAAAATATATATTATAGCTTAGGTTAATGTCAGTAAATAATGGTAACACAACATTTCAGCAATATTAGCAACAGTATTTAGTTGGAAGTTATGTTAACATGTATTTTGTGGTTTAAAAAACAATTTGAGCACCAAACTGTATACAAAAGGCCAAATAAAATTAACTGTTAATTTCATGTCTAGGATTTGAACATTTTTTTTATGAGGGTATTAACTATTTGCTATTTACTATCCTATATACTACAGTAGTGGTAAGCAGCCTAGTAAATGAAAAATGTTTTTTTTTTGTTTTTTTAAACAAGTAAAATGAATCTTTGTAAAATTATTATACTATTCTGCCATTATGTTTCCACCTCTTTTTTTTCTTGTTAACAACCTTGCAGATTTCTTGTTAACAACCTTGCAGATCATCATTATTTTTATAATGCATGGAAAAATTATTGTTTTTTTTTTTAAATACCAAATAGTAAACTTTTTCATGAGGCTACAAAATTTGATGAGGGCAGGAACATAATCTAGAAATAAATTTTATTCGGGAGGGGGGAGAGCCGAATTTAAGTGTTCTGTGACAAAATTATTGGCTTCTCCTCACAGGTGAAGATTCTATACCCCTTTCCCAGGATGCGGACCCAGGATTTTTCTTTAAATTATCATTTGGGAGAGGTAAGGCAATTGCATCTGGTTTTTTATCAAAACAGACATTCAATAATTCACTGTACCATTACTGCTAGATTACTCCAAGTCTTGGATGATAATACATTTCTTGTGTATTGCTTTAATATTTATCCAACAAAAAAAGTTTTCAAGCCATAGGCCTACATCACCAATACTACATGCATGCAAAAATTCATAACCAACACGTGCTTGCTTGTTTAAAAACTTTGCACGAATCTGATGACGTCAGTGTCACAGACGCACGGGTGAACACATCCAGGTAATTTCAACGGTTCCTTTTGCTGTATAGCGCAGGATTGGAACCAACGAATATGTAGAATTGTTTGGGTTTGCTGCAAGAAAATCAATTTATTCAACCTTTTCAACTTTAAAGATGGCCAACTCAAAAGATAAATTTTCGATACTGCATGCCAATTTAAAGCCAATTCATGATTTTTTTCTGAAAGAATTTGCAAAGTCAACTGAGCAAATAATTCATGGGCTTATGGTGAGGGAGATGATGTGAAATTGGACAAAAATTAGGGGTTATGGGCTTATAACTGAGGAACTGCAGCACTGTAATAGGATTAAATAGGATCTTATAGGACAGTTCATAAAATTACACACCTACAATGAGTACAGTAAATCTGCAGATTGATAGTTTGCATAGTAGCACCAGGGAGGGAACAACAATTAACCATTGATTCATCATGTTGAATTTGACATTAGTGGCATCCTGGCCTGATAATCTTATTTTCACTCTCCTATTTCTGTTTGGTCAATCCAAGGAGGAATACTGCTGAAAGACATGTATTGTTTTTGTTGATATGTTACTCATCTGTTTCCATGGTTTCAGTAAAACTGTCATTGGTACTTTGGTATCCAAGGTCAGCTTTGAGCCAAATAATTCAAATGTCAGACTGTAAACTAAAAATTTGAAGATGTATCCCTTGACAACTGAACAAAATTCTGCTGTCTGTAAATTCTTGAAGTTTCTGTATGACAGTGAAGTGAGCTACACACGTAAATTTTTTCTTATATCTCCCTGATGTAATTGTTTTTATGCCTCCATGATACAGTATTCCTCAAACAAGTATTTAAACCTAGATATCTCCCTTAAATCCCTGAACTTTGATGATCCACATTTGTGTATAAGTTGCACATTTATTCTTGAATACCACCATATTACACAGCTTTGGCTCCAGAAATTTGACGACAAGGCGACCGACATGGGTCCAAACCAAGGGGCCGACTAGAGCTTTGGTCGAGGCCTCTCGCAATAAAAAATCACTGGTAGGCTTCATGGCAAGAGTTGTTATGGCTTGTATGGTCAAAATTATGCCTATAAAAAATAGGCAAATTGTTACTTCTAAAATATTTTATCTGACAACCTCATTGTGGCATTGGGCAACAGGGAAGTCAAGGCCTGTCCAATGGGGGAAAATTTTTGTTGTGGAATATTTAGTAGACCAATTACAGGCAATTTTCATTATTTCTTAACAGTACCTGCAATTATATTTTTTTATTTTTTATTTGAACCATACTGATTTAAGGAGGGTGATCCATCTAGCAGAAACTGATCATGGGACCATCAACAATATGACCTAATGACCTACATATTTAGGCATATCCCATTCTCTACCTTCTTAGGGGTTGTATTATCATTTTGGTTGCTCATTCAACCCTACACACCCATGGCATTTACTAAAAAACTCAACAGTATGTAAAAAGATTTTTACTCCATCATGTACTAAGCCAACAGTCACTGCTGTATTACAGAGGTGACAGCCTAATCCAAGTTTTACAGCATGCGACTTGCGAGATGATCACAAGTAATGCTGTTACTTCCAATGGCCTTCCACCCTCTGTTTATATCATTACCAAAAAGGTCAGTTGCATAGTAAATCAAACCTTTACCATATTACCCAAAACTTGTATAAATAGAACCGATGGGATATGAATCAACTTTGTCACTTGACATGCTGAAAAAACTGTATAGTATACAAATACAACATAGTTTGACATGAAGTAGTAAATTAATTTTACTTGATGAGGTGTTGGATGACTTGCACTCCTACTGCTGCATGCTCACATCACTTGCAAATTACCACCACTGAGTGAACATTCCTGTCCTAGGCTAGCACTTGTATGAATACAACTCTATTATCATTATTCAATCTCTATGGCTACATTATAAAACATATGATTACATTGGAATGTGTTATGACAACATCATAAGTCACAAGAACAATATGGCACAGACTGTGGATTTACTATAGCATTAAAATATCATAATGGTTGGCAGACAGCAATTTAACACATTCGAAGGCATTTAAGTCTATGTTAGAATGGATTGGATTTCATCAGTGTCAAAGACCCCCACAGATATCACACAAAAGTCTAATTTCACTGGGGTCTTTTTAGTAGTGAGTAAAAGGCACTCCAAAGTGTTTAAATTTGTACATGGTGATTGCATATATTAAGATAAAGAAATTTAACAATGGTTGTGTGCTACTGTAACTTGAATTTCAGCCCTCCATTGAAACACAAGAGCATAAATGGAATTGAACCAGATCAGTGGTGAAATTTCCATAACTTTGAAGAAGGGAAACGGTAGCTTTCATTTCATTTATTCAGATAAGAGCCTTGAGGTCCCAATTCTTGAATTGACATTTGACCCACTAAGGCTGGGAGGGAGGGGGGAGACAGCTTAGGCTACCTAAAATTTAATAAAAAAAGAAATAAGGCAACCAATTTGTTCTGTATTAGACAACTTTATAAAAGTAAAAAAAATCTCAAAAATATGTGTAAAGTGCATGATCTTTCTGTAAAATGACCAACTAAAATCTGAAACTCATTAGGGTATTATCTCCTTCCTTCCACACACACTGTGCCTACAGTACCATCAATTTTGAAGGGTAAACTCAGAGAATCTGTAAAAACTCAGAGACATACAGTAAAAGAAAACCCATCAAATTTGTTGTCAACTGTTGACAGAATTCCAACAGTTGTGCAGTTGCATTACAGTCTACCAGTCAGTAAATGACATAACAAGGTGGCCTTTTGTTTGTTTAATGCATGTTTGCATTTGGAAAATGAATCCATATGAAACTTTCATCATGTAACAATCTGACCGAAAAAAATATACTACAGTATATCNNNNTTTCTTTGAAATACATATACAGCTGTCTCTTATACACATCTATACATATACAATGAATTTTGCTTTGGTTCCTGTGAACAGAAAAATGAAAAACAAGCTAGTGACTCATTTAATGCCATAATAGTGTAGAGAATCTTCTTAAGTATTGTATCATGTTTGTTTTTCCAAATCAAGATATGAAAAAATAGAAGTGCTCTCTGGAGATCAGGGGCCAAACCATATAAACCACCCCACCCGGATTACAGGCCTTGATAAATATACGATGTACAAATGTCCATTGTTGGTGGATACTGATGGTATGTTCCATTATTATGTTTGTTAAACAAAGAACATGAATTGTTATGTAATTATATAACTAAATAATTATTACTAAAAATAATTTAAATTGTTAGCCTACCTGATTCGCATGAAGTGTCATTTTAAATTTGTCAAAGTACAACCATTTTTGTGCCTCCTTGTGTTCCATGTCATGATAAAAATCCCTAGCCTTGTAACCAAATGAGTGGAAGTCACCCTCTGGAGTCAAGAGCAACGTTGATGGCATCTTAGCATTACGGACTCCAGGATCTCCACCCTGCCATTTACGCATCATAAATATCTGCTCGGAATTAATGGGAAAACAGTACGCATACCCGCTAAACGTTGAACCAAAATCTATAGCTACAACCACTTTGTAGGTTGTTGTGAACTCAATCGGTAAAACTTCAGATTCATCTACAAATTCTAGAGGGCTTACGGATCCAAGAGCATTGCTATTATTCTGGTGTACATTCTTGAGTGGTGTACTTGTGGACGGCCCATCATCTTCAGGAATAAAATTATTTATTAGTTAGTTTCCAAAGTAAATAATTTCGAAATTTGATCTTTACAAAAAAAAAGTAAAGTGAGAATTTAAAAAAGTACAAATACAAAAAAATATTTTTCAACATTTAAGACATACAGTATACCATAATCAATTTAAAAAACATATAACAGTATATTATTAAAAATATTTATAAATGAAATTTGCATAGATTAAAAAATGTAGAAAAATCACTTGAAATTGTATAAAAAGTTTTGATCTAAAATTATTTTAATATATGTAAATGTGGAACTATAGACAACACAAAATTACCATCAAAATTTGTTATTGCGTGTTCATAAAAACTCATCCCAACCAGGTTAGAAAAAAATCTACTTGAGTAGAATATTAATATAAGTGTTGAGAATGATGATGCTTTAATTCCATTAGTTTTATTTATAGTCATTTGGAGGTGGGGGATGTGTTTATTCGAGGGAGGCATTAATTCCAAATGAGGCTCTGGAGGAAGCCTTTATTGGAGTATATTTTGAATAAAAATGGTAAATTCACAGAACCATCACAATGTTGGACATTTTGCTTTGAGATAATAGGCGTATTCAACTGGTCTGTTTTGAGCAGCTCTTTCTACTCAAACTGCACATGTTGTATTCGACCGATCGCACGAGTAGCACAAACTCCTCACAAGTGCGGCTCAAAAACTCCTCGCTGTTTTTTACTTAGCACACTCCGAGTAGTAAATCACTCCTCAGAAAAGGACCAGTCAAATACGCCTATAATATATCATGATCATAACCCGCTGAAATATATCTTTAAAGTGCTTGAAATATTTATTAATTTACAGTTTGGACATTTTAGGTCAGCTACACCAACCAGAAAACAGAACCATAACCAGAATGGTTGTGAATTTGTGTTCACCAATGGTTCGACCATGGTTCACTTTGGGTGCGCTGAAGCATGGTGGTATAACTGGTACACTACAACTGTTAACTGTTTACATTGACATGTTTATCTCAAGTTATCTCAAGATTGGCATTAACATTTTTACAAACAGTATAAACAAACATGATAAGGTCTTTGTAAATTTGATAGGAAACAGTTTGAAACAGTCAGCTTGGCTGAATTACTTATAATATAATACTACTATATTTATTTAATTAGCTAGCGTTGACTGTGTCCATAAATTTTGACCTAATTACACCAAGAAGTGTAAACATATTCTTGGTATCAATCTTTGAATAGAAGATACAGTTTCAGGTGACCATTGAGAGTTGAGTAGTATAGTTTCTTAACTTACTATATTTCATTCATATAAAAATAAATAAAAACATAAACAATACCAATAAAACATTGTGGATATTACTAACAAAAATACTTTCTATTTTAATACAATTCTTAAAAATAGACACATATTATCAAGTATGGGTAAAACATTTTCATTAATGAATTCCTACTCTAAAATAGAAAAAAGTATAATGATAAAAATTCATTATTTTAATAAACACCTATAACATAGTTGTAATTCATTTTATAATTCAATCGAGAAAACATCATTTTCACACACATTCAAATTTCTTATCACTGATTAAATACTGTAAAACATCGAAAAGAAGCCATGGACTTTTTTTTGCAAACTTTGGATGGGCATCTTTTCGAGGCTACTTTTTGTTAGCAAGCCTGGCGTGTTTTAAATTTATTTTGTTTCTTTGAAATACATATACAGTGATGGGCTTCTTTTCGAGGCTACTTTTGCCAAATTAAGAGGGGCTTCAATTTGATGGGCTTCTTCTCAAGATTGCGTCCTTTGGGCTTCTATTCGAGGTTTTACGATTATCATGCTAGGGTTCAGTATATTTTGAGGCTTGTGTGAATAAAGATTAAACAAACCTGTTTATATCAAGACACAGCAAGAGGCTTAGCCACAACAAGAAATTTAATATTAGGTTACCGGTACTATAGCTGTGCTAAAAGTATTTTAAATACAAAATTGCTCTGAGTTCCCATCTACTTTGCCCCTACATTTTTGGCAGAGTACTTTCTTGATAAATCTACTGTTGGTATTCATCATTTAATTTTAGATTACTATACCATGGAGCTCTCCATACTTATACCTACTTGGTACCATCATCCCTCCATTGCTCCTACCTCATCTTCATAACCTACAAGATTTAGTTTCACTCGCTCTTAAATTTATACTAACCACATGTCTTGTGATCATTATTTGGAAATTCCATAAACATTTATCCTCTCTAGATGGAATTAAGGTTCAATTATTAGGTTCAATTAGCTTCCTACTTTTAAGCTTCTCATCAAATTAACATCTTGGACTCTTTTATGTTCTACAACAGTTATTCTATAATGACTCTAAGGGTTCATCAATGCCTCAAGCTCACCTGTTTGTATTTAGTTAAATTGTTTTTTAATAAATAGGATATTAAATAGTTGAAAGTCACGTAGCATTACATATTAATCTTCTATATATTATAGGTACCTCCCCAGCTAATCATTTTACTAATTTTAACTAATAATAATGTTATATTAATGTTGCAGTTTGGGGTTCAAAACATTTTTTTTGTAAAACCATAAATATATATTTAATAATGAGAATTTTACTTTTGTATCTTCTCATTTTAAGAATGATCGAATTTGCCTATAGGCTATGTCGGGACTGACAATTAAGACTTTGGAGGGACAAATGAGTTAGTTCCCTATGTCCACAAGTTCAATAGTAATTCAAGAAAATCTGCAACTGTCACCACATCAAAAGAAAGTGAAATGGATAATGTGCAGTGCATAGGCCTACTGGAGTTCACTGTTGGGTAGCAACAGTGTAACATGGCCACTATCTGGTAGTGATGTTCATTGTCTTAGCAGGTGGAGTGAAAAGTATTTGCTGCATAGCGGTAACAATGTTGAAGGTAAAATGATGATATCATGATTGATTATTACAGTTATTTATGCCAAAGCTATTGCAATGGATATGTGCACTTTATATTATTATAAATAAGGAAAATAAAAAAAAATTATTGAAACAAGTTACAACATAACACGTTTTTGAAAAACAAAATTTATTAAAACATGAGCTTTTACTTTCTCACTTACTCACCAGAATCAAAGGAGACCTTTCCAGATATTTCAAGTTGTCCATTTGGATTTGCAGTGCTTTCAAGAAATGATGTACTTTCATCTTGGTCTGTTTGCCCCTTTTTTGAGCCTTGAAGATTCTTTCTCTTTTTTCCTTTACCCAATCTTGGAATAGAATCATCAGATGATTGGGAGCTATTATGTATCTGTACAGTGCCTGAGGGTGTTACAACTGCTGGTAATGTTCTACTTTTCCTTTTTCCGGAGAAACTGATTTTCGGCAACCTAAGGGGTGATAGCAATCCTTTCTTTCTATGCTTGTCAGACAAACAGGGAATGGATCCTAAACGTTTTGAATCTTCATCAGCTTGATTGCTAGTTCCCATAGTAGAAACATCTGCTGAAGCATCAATTTGAGGAAGGGAACCAATTTCTGAAGTAACTGCCAGTTCTGGAGATATTTTAAAGCCTGGAATATTCACATCATCCCCAACTCCAGAGGAAAGTCCAGAATCTGAAGCTGGACTTGGCAAATCCAAGTTTACATCAGTATTGTCATCAATTCCTGATATTTTCACTTTCAAAGACTTGTGAGGGGCTACAATACAAGCATTGACCTCACCATGTACATTTCCATGTACTGGAGTGTTAGTGTTTAATGAATTCAAACAGTTTCTTTCAGATACCTCTACTTCAGGGTTTACTTTAATAGCATCAACATGATTATCATCTATTGAAGGCAATATCTTTAATGATGTTAATTCTAGAGCAGATGACCCATTAAGTGTTACATCTGAGATATCAATTTCTGCATGAACATCTAATTTTCTAACTGGAATGACAGGATTCTGCTTATCATCTACTACACCTTGCAATTCCTCATCGTGATCCAAGTTTAGATTCCTTTCTTGTTTTTCTATGTTACCTTTTTTGGTACTGCGTTTTTCAAATTGGAAACTAAAGGATGGTATTTTCATTTTCTTTTTTGATTTTGGTTTAACAACTCCTGTATTCTCAATTGAGCCAATAGATTCATGTAGATCATTATCAGCAGCTGAATTTACCCCTTCACATTCTGTGTTGTTAACTTGCAGAGACCCTTCACCAGATATATCTGGCAAACTTCCAGAGGATTTGATATGAATTGATGAACTAGATGGCAGCACTGACTTATCATTAGACATACTACTAGCAAGTGTCGCTTTTGGTTCAAATTCAGCACCATAATCATCACCTGTTGATGAAGAAATAATTTCCATTGATTTTGGTCGTCTAAGATGTTCACTTCCTACATCAATATCGTCCTCTTTCATGTCTTTATTCCTGCGACTCCAAAAATTAGGCATATGAAAATTAAAGGATAGCAAAGTGAAGCGTTTCTTCCGTTTTTTTAATTTCCTGCTTGATAATTCTGGCTCTGAGCTTCCCTTATGTAAACGCTTCTTTACACTACCCTCAATACTTACTCCACTTTGTGATAGTTCTTGCCTTGTTTGAGGAAGTGTTGCTGATTTATCAGATTGCTGAACACATTCTTTTTGGGACATGCTTCCAAAACCAGTTGGTTGTTTAATTCTTGGAGGATACTGAAACTGATCACCATCATCTACATCACCCATACCTGCTTTTAAATTCAGGTTGTCATTCTCATTACTAATGCTGATATCTGAACAATCATTCACATGGCCTGATACCATACCTTCAGTACTACAGCTATGAGGAATTCCTATTTTCAAGTCATGATCATTGTCGAATGAGACTGTATTTTTTACATCAATGCTAAGATCTACATTGTTTAGTTCCATACTTGTTTTTTTTTCAACATCAATAATATTGTAAAGTCCAAGATTTAAATCGCTATTGGAAGTAGCTTCATTTTCTTTTACAACTAAATCAATATTTTCTTGAATGCATGGCTGTTCAAGCCCAATTTCAGCTGAAGAACTTTTATCAAATTCCGAGGAACTAACTTTGATAATGCCACAAGGCACATTGTCTATCAAAATATTGTCAGAAGCAGAATGTGATACACTTATGCCTTCTATTTCTGCTGTTGGTAAATTCTCTGCCTTCAGAGCTAATTTTAGATTATTATCTAGTGCAACTGCAATTCCTCTTGTATCTATTATAAATTCCTTGTTTTCATGTTTGTCAGTATCATCAATTACATGTGATGGAAACTGTGCTTCTACATTCAATTCCATTACATCATTCATTTTATTTTCTGTAGCTGGTTCAATCTCCATTTCTTGTTTAACTTCTCCAAACTGTCCTTCAATTCCAATATTCATATCACCAGCTGTGTCCTGAATTGTCATTATTTCTGATATATCACTAGGGATATTGGCATTACTCTCTGCATTACATATATCTAATTCCTTTGTTTGAAGATGTGAATCAATTTCTGGTACTTCTGCAGATGCTACAATGGAATCAATCTTCATTTCCTGTGAGATACTGGTATCAAATCTGCTACCAACATTGATGTTCATTTGTCCATGCACCGTCTCATCATCAGTAACAATATCAATATCGGGTGAACTTCTAATTGCTGAATCAATATCCAAACTTCCTTTTTTCTTCCTTTCCCCAAATCTTGGAAAGGAAAGGTTAATGCCACTCTTGAGACCTTTCTTTTTTCTGACCTGAACTTTTCCAGCTTGTTCACCACTATCCTCATCCTGATCAGGAGAGTTGGCAACTTCATTTTGACAACTTAGAGTCAACCCAGCTTGTTCACCACTATCCTCATCCTGATCAGGAGAGTTGGCAACTTCATTTTGACAACTTAGAGTCAACCCAGATTTAAAATCAGACATTACATTTAAATCCTCTGTATTTTGAATTGTTGAATCTTTTTCTTCAAAATCTGGAGTATCCAATTCCTTCTTAACAAATAGCTCATCCCCAAGACGTAATGTGTCAGCATCAATATGTGCCTTCGCTTCAGTTTTGTCTGTAGGAACATAGGTGCCTGCAGTTTCCTCTAGTGCACTCTCAATACTAGACAAGTTGTTGTCATAAATGTGTCCCCCTTCAGTGCTAATTTCAACACTGACATTCTCACTTGGTGGAGAAATTGGTAGGGATTCAGAATATACACTACCTTTATTTCTCTTCCATGAAAATGATGGTAAATGAATTCCTCCAAAAAATCCTTTCTTTTTTCCCTTCTTCATTTGTTCATCCTCATGCTCACTGCTATCATCATTTGAACTGCTACTTAAATCATTTTCAACTTTTAAATCAATTTCCTCTGGAATACAACTAAGTGGTTTCGGTTGACTATCTGTATCTATATAAAACTCTGTGCTACCTTCACCTTTTTCTTCAGGATACACAAAGTCTACACCTAAAGAAGGTGAACTTTTCCCTGGAAATTTTACTTCCATATCTGTATCATCAGTTGCTAAATCCGAGGAAGGTTTATTACCACCAGCTTTACTTTCATGGATTCCAGCCTTAACTTCAGGATTCTCAGTTCGAGCTAGTTCCCTAAACTTATTTTTTTTACTTCCAAATTTTGGAAATTGTATACCAACATTTCCAAATATTTTTTTTCGTTTCTTTATAGGTTTGGGTGATTTTTCATCCTCATCTCTAGAACTGACTGACTTAGAATCTTTCTTTGTATCAACTGATACATCACTTGACAATGTCAGGCCAGCTTCTACTATTAAATTGCCTGATAAAACATTGGTGACATCAAGTTCTTCTCTTGGATGCTCAGTTATGTCAATGGTTTGATCATTTTCATTTAGTTCATCTATGACGATGCCTGCAGACGGTATTGCAGCACCAATATCAATTGGATTTTCAACATCAAAATCTTTTGAAAAGGATGTTGGGCAGCTTGTACCATTGTCATTACAAATATCATTATTGCGTGTTGTATTCATATGAACTTCAATACATCTGTCACCAAAGCTACCTTCTGTAACATTTAAATCTACATTGGAATCAACAGCATGATCAAATTCTTCATTTATGTTGGTTTTGGCAGAAGGGCTCTCTAAATCTGCAGATACATTAGTTTTCTCATTATTCTGGTCAACATCAAAATTAACAAATTGAATATTTCCTACTTTATTGTCATTCAACTCCATTGAACCTTCAAACACAACCTCATCAGGTTGTTTTTGGCCCTTTTTCATCAGATTTACTTGTGTTTCAATTCCTTCCAATTTCATGTCAGTACCTATTGTGAGTTCCTCTTTAATAGATACTTCTGTAGCAAAATCATTGTCTTTGACTAATTTACCATTTATATTGGCATCAGAACTCAATACTGGTGACCCTGACTCCAAGTGTTTTTCCTTTTTTTCACTGGACGTTGGCATGTGGAAACTGATTCCAAAAATGCCTTTGCTGTCTTTCTTTGTCTTCTTTTTTGACTTTTTGCCCTTCTTCCTCTTCTTCTTTCCATTAGATAGTACTTCATCCTCTGAACTACTGGATGAAGTTGTAGCTATTCTTCCTCTTCCACCAATATCAGGGCACGCTGCATTTTTCAGGTCATCCAAGTTTATATCATTTCCATCAAGGTTTCCTTCCATAATTATATTATCATGCTCTGCCTTAAAAGCAATTGTAGGGTCAACATCATTTGATTTTGTGGTAATACCTGTATCAAGACTAACACTTGGATTACTGGTAGCATATTCTATTCCTGATATCTGAGAATCTTTTCCCTCTTGGAACTCATAGCTATTTTCACAGGTGACTGTCAATACATCTTTTTCATTAACACTGATGTTGTCCTCATTATTACATTTTCTCAGACTGTTATCAAGGTGTTCCTGATTACTTGTTATTCCTACATCAATACCAACAGTTCCCAAATGAACTTCACCTTGTATGTTTGATCCATTATCATCACAAGCCTCAGTGTTATTGTCTTCAGAATTTTTGTTACCTTTAAGTTCCAGTTCTTCATTTGATGTGAACTCAACTTTTATGTCATTTTTCAATTCAGCCTCTTGCTCTTTATGTCCCAAATTTGAATGACTCTTCTTTTTGTTGAATTTTGGCATGTGCAAATGAAATCCTCCAAAACGACCTTTTTTTTGGTTTTTGCTTCTTGGATAAATCCCGCCATCTTCCTCATCGAGATTGACATCTGCAACAACGTTGACTTGGTCATCTGTGTCTCCTGAAAGATCAATTTCTCCTTCACAAGACTTTGCTTGGCCAATTTCGACAGATAAGTTTGTTGAATCTGGAGTGTCAATATCCATAATTTCTGTTGGCAGTGATTTAACTCCACTAGCTAATAATTTCTCTGAATCAGACTGGTTTGTATCTGTACACTTGTTATCTAAATCCAAATCCACTTGAAAACTAGCATCAAACATGGATGGATTTCCATCTAACCCTGAATCAATTCTGGTGTCACCCATTTTCACTTCCGAGTCCTCTATATTCTGCCCTTTCTTTTTGCCACTAAAACCCGACATGTGGATACCAAGACTTGCTAAAATACCCATTTTCTTTTTCTTTGTTCTTTCTATTTCTTCAATCCCCTTGTCTTCTTCATTGGGTGATATTTCAAATGAGGCTTCAAGATCTCTGTTTTGTTCTTTTAACATTTCAGAACCAACTTGGAGTTCCACTTCAGTTTCTTGAATCTGTATTTGACCTGGAGATTCTACTTTATTACATTGTGAAGAAACACATTTATCATTAAGCTGTATGTTGCCTTCTGTGATTATATCATTCATAACCATAACGTCAGCTTCCCCCAAGCTGACGTTGTTGGTAAGAGAATCATCATTTGGATTGGTTTCAACAGTCTTGCTATATGAAACATCCAGACAACTGTCAGCAGATGGACTATTACCATCACATATATCATCAGTTACAGCAGCATTATTAAATTCAATTTGACCTTTCACTTCAGCCGATAAAGCAGTTGACAAATCTAAGTTTTTGTTTTCATGTGTCTTTAATGGCTCTGAATCAATTGTTCCTGAGATAGTTTCATCATTGATAAATTCATTACTTGCATATTCACTGGATTCCAATCCTATGGTATTCAAATCTGATTTACCAACTGTAATGTCCTTCTTTTTTTTGCTACCAAACTTAGGCAAGTGAAAATTGATTCCTGAGAGGAAGCTCCGTCTTTTTCGCTTTTTCATTTTTTTATTTTTAAATTGTTCCTCACGACCATCTTCCGAACTTGAACTAGAAGATGAAGATTCATGATAGTTTACCTCTTCCTCTGCATTCTCAATTACTAGACATTCTTCATCATTTTGGTTTCCTATTGACAAATCATGTGTCAAGTTCATGTCTATTTCAACTTCATCAGTATTTGAAATTGCATCATTCTTAAAACTTATATTATCTTTGCCTATATCAAGTTCAAAATGAACTGTCTTCCCTGTAGACTCTACATTCCTTTCCTTTGTATCACAAGCATTTTCAGGAACTTCCATTTTTTTAAATGTTGGAATATCAAAACTTGTTTGTTTGATGATTTCAACACTGACTTCCTCTTCTATCGTTGGATGTGGGTTGTCTATTTCTAGATAATTTTGTTCTTCCTGTGCATGTATTTCTGAAAATGTATTAATTGTTTGTGTTATTTCTTCCAAAAGAGCAGTCGTTGATAATTCTTTTGCAGAAATTTCATCCTCAGATTCTTTTTCGCAAGGAGACAAGATTATTGTTCTTTCTACTTGTTCAATTACTTTGCAATCGGCTCTAATTTCTTCCGTAGTAATAATTGTTTGGGTATCCATATATACTTTGGTTGGGGCTTCTTCTTCTGACGCATACACTTGGTCATCAATCCCTATATCTGCAGTCAACACAACATCCATGTCTGTAATTAAGATAAAAGTAAACAATGAAAGTATAATATTCAATATCTAAACAAATATAATATATCTACCTATTTTTTTCATAATCCAGTGTGTGCCATATATATATATATATATATATATAACATGATTGATTTCATACAAAAACTTTCATAGCTGAAAATAACCAATCAAATCTTTATGCTTCCTCTCCCATGCCATAAACAAATAGTGTAGGCACATTTTTGTCCAATGTAAACAAATTTAGTTTCACAAATAAAGGGCAATCGGTTAATTTAGTAATACAATAATTTGCCAAGAAATCACCATTTTAAAACTTGTCTCAAATAGCACAAGTATACAACATTTTTAATACCCATGAATTGAATAAAATTTTGCCATGTGTATTTGAAGTTAGCCCAATTCATCTATTACTTTTATAGATAACAAATCAAATAGTCTGTTATTAGTAGTAAAACATTCAAAATTGATGGGAAAATGTAATGAAGTATCAAAATTCATAGGATGGCTCATTAATTAATTTAGGTAAACAAACAACCATGTCATGCTCTACTGTATAATTATTCTATTAAGGTGCTCTCTATTAAAGGTAAGAAGAAAGCCTCATTAAGACCTTATAATGAGCTGCTAATGATGACAAAACACAGTTATTTTGCTTCACTAAGCTTGTCTTATAGCTATCAGTTTTTGTCACAAGAAAGAGTTTGGTGGTGTTGGGTTTCTGTTTAGCTTGACACCATACTGTGAGACGAGCTTTTTACAGCTATATGGGTAATTAGGTTTGCGAAACATGAAATATTTGAATCCTAAAATATTTTCCTGTTTTTAATAACGTTTAGTAAGCAATTGAGGCAAGCTACAAATTACTTTTGATCTCCACTATTGGGGGGGGGGTTAATGGATCCAGGGGGCCAGTTTCTCCCCTCCCCACCAAATAAAAACAAAAAACAGAGAAGAAAAGAAAAAAAGGGGAGCATCATACTTCAAACAAGTTAATTTTCAATGTAGATTCCATGTACCACTTTTCCACAGTCAAGCAGTTCCAAACAAAAATCACAATCAATCTTTCTGATAATAAATATTTTTATTTTCCACGGAAAAATTATTGTTTTTTTTTTCAAATAACAAAATAGTACATTTTTTTCATGAGGCTCCAAAATGTGATGAGGTTGGGATGTGAAACTAGCAATTAACTTTATATGGTCATTGTCATTGTCATTGTCATTGTCATATGGTCTACTCTAAAATAAAATGCTGCAATTTAAAAGATTTAATATACTTTACATATATTAATAAAAAAAATTACCATTTGATATTGTAATTAAGTTGATTTTGTTTATCCACTTGAAAACAATTTCATATCTTTTTATGAACATCCAGAAACTTTAAATTTAGAGATGTGGAAAACCTTTGAGTGATATGACCTCCACAGTGGAAGCAAGAAAGCATTTTAACTTCACCATCATAATAATGTGCCATCACCACAGCATCTTCCATTCCAAGGCCATTGCCACACTCCAGTTCCCAGCATGACACTCAACGAGTTCATGATTCAATATCATTGGGGAATGTATTATTTGGTAGGGTGAATAAAAACAGTCTTCTTTATACCATTACACACAAATCAAGTCAGCCTTGTACTCATTTCCATGCGCCTTGGGATTTCACAATTACAAGTAAAAAATTGTTTCATGGTAAAGAAAAAAACAAAAAAAAACTGTGATCATTAGTTGTAAATCTAAAAATAGTATCGAGGTTGAAAAATGGTACTTGCAATCTGTATATAATAAGAACAAAATATTGTTTCATTCAACCAAGGGGGTACTTACAAATTTTATCTGACTTATATGTTGGTGGTTCAATAACTGTGGTGATAAAATGATGGGATATTTACACTGAATATTTTCAGAATATTAACAGGAGGATAGGCTTGCGAAAGATGATGATAAAGATAAAATTGATGGGGTATTCAAAATCATGCTGATTATGCTAATATATTGAAATGATCAAGACACAACTGGGATGATAATGATAATATGGATATGAAAACAATACTAATAAAAATCATGATTTTGTACTAATGCTCTACCAAAAATACTGTATTGATTGATAATGAGGACTATGAAAGAGTATGATGATGAGCCTCAGGTTCAAAACAATGATGGTGATTGATGCTTCAATGATAGTCATACTTATGATGATACTGAGATTATTATGTTGAAGATGATGATGATAATAATGGAAATGAAGGTGACATTAATAAAAATTATGCTAATAATATTAGTAATATTATTACTAAATATTATTAGCATCAGCTATTAATATTATTATTAATAAAGAGGATGCTAATAATATTAATATTATTAGCATCACCTTCATTAATAATTAGTCATAATTTTCGTTGATCAGACAAATTAAAAAACTTAACATATTTGAATGAGTTACAACATCAAACACAGTAGACAGCCCTACACTGACCTTTATCATCCTCTTCCAATTCAAGTTTCTCATTGTGACTAGCTTTAAGATCCAAAGATACCATTGTTTGAGGTGTTACATCCATGTTCCCTTTAAAAAAAATAAAGCTATTTACTAATAAACATTAATTTTCATAAAATAAACTATTATAACAAATTAATGAGTACTACTATCAAACTAAAATTAAATGTAAGTTTACAAAAACAAAATTATGCATTACAATAATTCTAAATGTTAATAATACAAAGATGTACCTGTGGTAGTTGGTTCCTTTAAAAGTATTAACATTTATCAATCACATAATTCATAATAAATAATAACATAGCAGCACATAAATCAATCGAAATTTTATAAACAAATAAACAGCATAGTATAGTATTAGTATTAATACACATTGTAGCATGGTCTTTAATTATGTGATTTTGTTCAAATGAATATATTATGTAACTTTAATTTTCATAATTGTTAGTATATTTTCAACAGGCTACAGTACCATAAATTACGAAATAAGCACTGCAGCATAAAGGACTGAACGCAGCCAGAGAGGACTGTATAAAAGCAAACTTAATGGTAATACCAGTAACTACATTGGCAATGTTTAAAAACTGATTTAAGTTGGAATACTTAATTCTAAGAAATTTTTACATCGAATTTAATAACCTTTAATCTCACACTAAAACAGACATAAAAAACACAAAATACAACTAACACATTATTATAACAGCAAACCAACATACGACTGTTTAGTACATATTGATTATCTACAATGCTGTTTCGGTGTTTGTTTTTTTGATGTACATTTATTTTTATTTTGGAAGAAACATGCAGTAAATGCAATATTCTCAAACTTTATCAAACACAAAATAGATTTTGTTTTCTATATTCTATAACTTTATTAATATATGTTGAATTATCACCATGTTCTATCTTTACTGTAGTACATATTCTACATAAATGAGCCTCTGTTTCAAAAGAGAAACAGTAAAGTGATGTATATACACCTCTGTCTGTTGAGCACTAAAGCACACAAATTATATCTATTTTTTAAATATTTATTATATTTATTTTTAAAATACTTATTAGAAAAGTAACTCCACAAGATATAACATTATAATATATAAAACATATTTGGAACCAGTTGCATATCTGCTCAAATAAGCTATTAAAAACTTTAACATTGAATTATAATTCTCTTAATAGCAATGTGCTTTGCAAAAACTTTCGTTAAAAAAGTATCACTTAAATCTAATTACCGCATATACTTGCATATAAGACATGGCTTGAAATAGCAAATTACGATTGAAAAATGGTGGGGGGGGGGGGAGGAGTCGTCCTATACGCGAGTGATTATTAAAATATGTTCGTCTTTTGTGCTTATCGTCTGTATTCACGCGAATTTACTACTGCAATGAGGCTACTAAAATGTTAGTAGGCCTATGAATGAACGCAATTTTAAATACGGGAAAATAAATAATGGCATTATGGTATTATTTCTAAGATTAGCCCTGCATTTGCCCTCCATTTTTAGCCCACCAAATGCAGTATCAAACCATAAAAATCAGCAAAAGTATGAATTCTGACGGTAAAACGGGGGATCGTCTTACACACTCGACATACAAAAATCATCCAAAATTCTTCTAAAACTCAAGGTTCGTCTTATACGCGGGTCGCCCTATACGCGAGTATATACGGTATATAATCTTATTTTGTATATTTTAATAATTTATTATACTAGCTTTCAACTGAAAAAAAAAGAAAAAAAAAAGAAGATATTGGCAATTAACCAACGTTAAAAAAATTCCTATAATCTTTGCAATATACCCTTAAATTTTTGTTTTCATCTTAAAACATCTGGACAGTAAATCATTGAAAACTTATTGTTGTGAATCTGTGACTTATTGAAAATGGGCAACTTGTGGTTGTTGCATGAGCAAATCATTATTTTTGAGGGTTTATATTATTACAGTGGCAGTACATTATTGACTTTCAATTATTTTTACACATGCAGACAATTTGTTCACTTATTATTTAGAGGAGGTGCTGAAAAATAACTGGCCTATTTGCAATTGAATTCTTCAAGTCTGTGGATCAGCAGAGGCTTAAAAGCGTACAGATTGGCAAGAGGTCCAACTGTCTTGATTTTTTGCATGCACAGAATGCAACAGAAAACCAAGTACTACCACAAGATAGGGGGCACCCTATAAAAATTTGAAGAGTTTGGAATTCGAAAAGGCGTTCTTTACCAGCAGCACACATTTGATACAGACAACTTTTATGTGTATATCCAAGGTAATTCAACAAAAGGACGCACATCTCGGGACATCAAAGGTTATAACCCTATAATCTTTGCAATATACCCTTAAATTTTTGTTTTCATCTTAAAACATCTGGACAGTAAATCATTGAAAACTTATTGTTGTGAATCTGTGACTTATTGAAAATGGGCAACTTGTGGTTGTTGCATGAGCAAATCATTATTTTTGAGGGTTTATATTATTACAGTGGCAGTACATTATTGACTTTCAATTATTTTTACACATGCAGACAATTTGTTCACTTATTATTTAGAGGAGGTGCTGAAAAATAACTGGCCTATTTGCAATTGAAATCTTCAAGTCTGTAGATCAGCAGAGGCTTAAAAGCGTACAGATTGGCAAGAGGTCCAACTGTCTTGATTTTTTGCATGCACAGAATGCAACAGAAAACCAAGTACTACCACAAGATAGGAGGCACCCTATTAAAATTTGAAGAGTTTGGAATTCGAAAAGACTTTCTTTACCAGCAGCACACATTTGATACAGACAACTTTTATGTGTATATCTCATTTTTTGAAGGACGCACTCTAGTTTAAAAGCAACCCCGACAGTAGGACCTCTTGTTTCTATAGGCCTACTTTGCTTAATAAAATTAAGGTGAAACATTTTTTCTATAGGCCTACTTTGTTTAAAATTAAGGTGAAAAAATTTTTGTAACGCACCTACATATTGTACTACAGCCCAAAGTTGGTGACAATGTATCTAAAAAATCTACAATCTATTGTATAAAATAATTAATTACACACATTCCTAAATATCAACATCATTGATGAATGCCCAATTACATGTCAGTTCTTACATTGTTTTTCGGATAAAGATAACATTTTATATTTGTTTCAATGCAGCTACAATATCTCCTATAACAACATTTTTTAAAGAATTATATAATTGTAAGCACTTATTACTTACTGAACTGCAGTTGTCACTGTTTATACATTGCATTGGCGTACAGTAAACACTTCTCATTGCTTTGTACGCCAATGCAATGGAATCTGAAGTGATCAGGGCCTAAAGGCATCCTTCCCTCCCCACAAAATCACTTTTTACCTAACACACTTGCATTTTTTATTATTAAATCTTCCCCTCCTTTTTTCATCCTTTGCCTTGATGTAGAATTATTTTGCTATAATCAATTTTATTTCAATTTTTCCCACTCTCCTACAAAGATCTTTCAAAAACAATGCTCACTAAAGAAGGTCTCAAAACAATCACAGTTTTATAGGCCAAATTAAATAAAAAACTATGTTTCACATTCATATATTTTTCATAGAGTACAACTCCCCTCATAAAGATAATCATATGACCCCCCTTCTTATTGCCCTTCATAAAGTTAACCACCACACACAAACTATTTCAGTGAGTTACAAATTAATACATTCAAGGGGAAAAGTTGTCTAAGGGACCTGACATTTTCCAGCAGAGGCTAGCAAGACCTGGATTTGTTTTTTTTAAATCTTATTTACAGTGGGTGACCTTTCCACCTTATCTTAGAAGGTCAGCTGATTTCAGGGGCTCTAAAATAATAGATGATCATTTATAAACTAATTACGAGGCTTAGGAATGGATATGATGTAGAGAAAAAAAATCCCAATATTACCAGATTTGAACCTAGGAGCAGGAAGGATTAACCACCAAGCTATATCCAGACTCACTGACAGGTGCCCAGAGGCTACTCCAGTGCTCAGAATATATCCCCACCCCCACTAACACTACCACTACTTTACCTAGACATACAGGATACTCATTGTTTAGAATAATCTGCAGGTGTTTTGAGTTATCAAAAATGGATGTGGAGGGCAAAAAAAAAAAGCAAAGGAATAAAAAGGAGGAACTATGTTTTTATCATAGAGAAAGAATGTTTTTATACCATGCTAAAATGAATATTAATGATACTGTATTTTTCAGATATTTTTCATTAATGGACCATCTTATTTGAGCTCTTAATGCAACACCCCTGGACCAAGCAAGCTGAATTTGATTTACACAAGGCTAGATGTCATCAAAGATGGAATTTCTGGTATTTTTATCAAAACTTGGCAACTAATCAGTCAGTTCCCAGCAGGCACAGGCAAACAAGGCCAATCAAGCTAACTCTCACTTTCTCTCTTTCAATTTGGGTCATCCCAACATGAATGGTTCCCATCTTTTTTAATACCTCCACATCATCAATAAACTTTGTTTTAACATAACAAATTAACTTCGCATAATTATCCTTTACATATTTTTTTAAAATCAGCTATGTGTGAATCTACAGTGAATCTAGGTCAATATATATTCTGCCCACATTGCTCTAAATTATTTAACATCTACTAGATTTATATTTTTCTTTAAAATAACTGTACATTTATTTTTTTTAGGTTAATGTTTTTTTATCTACATTCACTTGAGAATTAATGTAATTAAACTTTTTAATTTATGCAAAAGGGCTAGACTGAAGCATTGAAACATGGTTTCATTCATACATGGTTGAAAGGTGAGGGATTTCTTTGTCTAAGTTCTTCCATTTCTGTGGCTATGATCCTCACTGAAATATTTACAAAATAATGTAAGTCTGTGTGCTCTACTTGCAACATTGGCCTTTGACAACTTTCGCTATGCTATGCTTAACACCATGTGTTAATATCATCTTTTCATGTTTTCTGTGAATGGCAAATTGAATTAATAATAATCAAACATATCCCACTTCATGTTGTGATTCTCAGCCACATGAAGAGAAACCTGTAATTCTGGTGCGAAGTAGGATACTTCAGATGTATAAAGCAATAATTAACCAAATTATGCATATAAAACAATAAAAGGGTTGCAGATGACTATATAAGTTGGTGTTTCATATTCTACTCATTCCTAATATGAGTTCTCAACATTTCATCTATATGGTATAGTTATGTCAACTTGGGCCACTATAGTATAATTTATATTTTGCCTCAGGCATTTTCCACCTACAGTACTTCCAAATTAACCATTTGGAAAAAAGAACCACTCCCTTCAAATAGTACTAAAATTGTTTTGAATGTCACTATATCAATTATGACATGTTTTACAGGCACAACTAGTTTTGTTTTTCTTAAAATAATCTATTGTATAGTTGCATGAATTTGGGTTGCTACAGTATAATTTATATCCTACCTACTGACACTTTCCGCCTACACACAAATTAACCATTTGGAATATAAGACTACTCCCATCAAGATGGCACTGCAGGTAAAAACTAGTTTTTAAAATGTAACCAAATTCTTTTGATTTGCTGTAGGACTCAATAACGCCGTATCCAATTTTTTTGGCACATTAAACTTTCTAGTCATGTTTAACAATCACATAGAATATTGCTGGTGAAAGAATGGTTGTACTTGTATTAATTTAATAGTGTAGTATAATGTTATGTTTTACATAAGAAAATCGCCGAATAAATTTTGTTTTAGCGTTCGTTTTATCGTTATCACAGGCTGCTTCAAAACTGCCCATGCATGTCCATGCGCATACCCAGAATGATCTATCAGGGATTGTCCACATGTACTACAGTACTTGTCAGTTTGTTGTCAGTCACGATGTGATCGTGATTGCGTTTAAACGGATGGTAGGATTAAGCCTACAATATGTTGAATTTTGTTGTTTTTAGATAATAAACAACATTTTAAATATGATAATATTGTAAAATGAATACAAATAATTAGATTTAGATAAGCATTCTACGCGTCCCACATGGCTTCAATTGGGCAATGTTGTAGGCCTTGGCTGGCTAGCGTCATTCCTAGGCCTAGCCTACCAAACGACTGGGCGAGATTGAAAGACAAGACGACTGTACACAAATCGTACGTACTGCATGCCTATTAGAAATAGTTATTGTACAAACAAATCTGTTTTATGAACCACCAATTTCCTTGGTTTGACGACGTACATGAAATTTCAACATTCATCAAATGCAAAGTCATAGCAAATTTATTACACTGTATTAATTTGGTTTTTCATCTATATGGTATAGTTATGTCAACTTGGGCCACTATAGTATAATTTATATTTTGCCTCAGGCATTTTCCACCTACAGTACTTCCAAATTAACCATTTAGAAAAAAAGAACCACTCCCTTCAAAATAGTACTTGCAGTTAAAAATTGTTTTGAATGTCACTATATCAATTATGACATGTTTTACAGGCACAACTAGTTTTGTTTTTCTTAAAATAATCTATTGTATAGTTTCATGAATTTGGGTTGCTACAGTATAATTTATATCCTACCTACTGACACTTTCCGCCTACACACAAATTAACCATTTGGAATACAAGACTACTCCCATCAAGATGGCACTGCAAGTAAAACCTAGTTTTTAAAATGTAAAATTTGATTTGCTGTAGGACACAATAACGCCGTATCCAATTTTTTTGGCACATTAAACTTTCTAGTCATGTTTAACAATCACATAGATTATTGCTGGTGAAAGAATGGTTGTACTTGTATTAATTTAATAGTGTAGTATAATGTTATGTTTTACATAAGAAAATCGCCGAATAAATTTTGTTTTAGCGTTCGTTTTATCGTTATCACAGGCTGCTTCAAAACTGCCCATGCATGTCCATGCGCATACCCATTTGTTTTTGTTTTGAAAAATTTAGGGGGGGGGGGGTGGTGCCTGGCCAGCTGCCCCGCCACCTCCACCCCCGAATCCGCCATTGATTACTAACTACTAAACTTAGCTACAAAAGCAATTACTGTACAAAAAGATAAAAATCATGTAAAAATACTAATTTATAATTTACCATGAAATTCTGTTGATAAACTGATAGATAATTCACAGCTGAGTGCAAGACATTGAAATTTGCTTGGCCAATTGGCCAAGAAGGTTGCGGAATGGGGCAACTGGCAGTATTACCAAGGTAATTCAACAGAAGGACGCACATCTCCGCTCTTGAACATAGCGTGTGCGTACAGTCCTTTGATCTTTACTGTGGCATCGACAATCCGATACTAGTTGCGAGTACAGCCGTCAATTATTAGTTTATGCGTGCCATACGTTTTATGGTGTTAGTTACATTTTATTAATTTTGAGTACTTCGCAATGTCTGTTACATCTGATTTCTTTTGACCACGAGCTTGTTAAATGCTTCTATAAACTGCAATTTGATTTGTGAAAATTGACCAAGAAAATGAAAAGTTATAATAGCAATTGAAAATTTTATAAAATTTCATGTTCTTATGTAACATTAAACTGTCATTTTGACTATGTTGGACTAAGGTGCACAAAACAAACATTTGAGTAGATACAGAACATTCATTATTTTTTTCTGCGAAGTGAGTCTCATGAACGACAATACACCACAATATTGGTAAAATTAATGTTGAAATGAAGAATATAATTAAAAGTGCAAAATATCATTAGGCCTTTGTAATCAAATCATTTTCTTGGAAACTAACACGCGCGTTGGTAATTCGTCACGTACGCTGATGGTTTATGGTCTGGTTGCTATGGTTTGTGTGACGTTCAGCATGTAGGGACGCACATGCCCCTAGAATGTCGATGCCAGAGTTTTAGCCTTTGATGTCCCGAGATGTGCATCCTTCTGTTGAATTGCCTTTGTATTACAGTAATTAAATTGTATATCAGACACATCAAAATTATGAGCATCTTTAACATATTTTTGTACATTTATTATATTCCCTATATTTTTTGTAGGATTTGATCCTTTGTTTTAAACTTAATTATTATTTACTATTATGTAAAACTACCAATGCAATTGAAAAGTAGGCCTATAGTATAGTTGATAATTTTTTTAAGGATTTTTAATCCTTTGTTAACTAAATAATAATATTTACTATTTGTAAATTATTTATACTACCAATGTAATTAAAAAGTATAATGGAGCATTTTTCTATACTTTGTTAACTTATTAATATTCACTAATACTATTTTGTAACTTATTTATAGGCCTACTACCAATGAAATTGAAAAATACAACTGAGAATGCATACCATCTTTACTATCTTCTTGTGAACTGGTCCCTGTTGTTGCAAACTCTGTCACTGTGTCTTCTTTGCGGACACTTAACAATGAAGGTGTCTGTTCCTCTTTCTCCAACGACATAGAAATAGAGGTGTTCTTGTGTTTACCTTTTGACTTCTTTTTGCCCTTTTTCTTTTTTGATTTTGAAGTATTTTCCGTAATTAGAGTATCGTCAATGAAATTTACAGATTTCTTCTTTCCACCAATTTTCGGTAAACTTAATTCTGGTGTACTGCTTGACATATCTATACTTGGTCCTGCGTCTCGAGTTCTGGAATGGGACTCGTCCAAGCTACCAGTATCCACGTTAACTTCAATGGAACTTAAGTTTCTGTCGCCTTGAAGTACCTTGTAGATACCATCAGGCGCACCTCCATCACTCGTCTCATTGGAGTTCACTTCGTATTTTCCATGCGAGGCCGAGATTGGATTAAGTTCAGCATTTTTGTTCGACATTTTGCCCTACCCACTTTCCTCACATTAATCGGCTTTGGCACAAAATCAACATCCACTTGTAAGTTAAGATTGCTTGATTTGCATAACGAAAACGTAAAAACTGGATCCACTTTGAAGGCCACCTTATTTCTGCAACTTATCTTAACTGCGCAGTGGTTGCCGAGTAAACGCTTGACTGATGAAAACTTTGTCTGACCGTTTGCCAATACATCTTGTTCACTTACTCCACCTCCTGTGCGCTGATGTCGCGTTCAGAGAATGGACACGTCGTTTTCGTTTTGTGACCTTGTTACCTGGAGATAATTTTGAAATTGGACACCTATTCTGAAACGAACAGCGGGTCATTTTTAACGACTCATGTCATGACGAAACACTTGTCTAATAATGGAGCCTTAAAACTGTTTGACATGGTTCTATTTATAATACTTAACAGGGACGTATCCGGTGGGGATGGGGAGGGGAGCCGTGGGAGCCGCGGCACCCCCTTTGTACACAGTGTTAAAATTTTAAAGCTTATTCTTGAGCCAATACAAATACTTCCTGGGATCACTCAAAATGAATACTTCTATAATATGTAAATATGCATCAGTACACGTTATACAGGCCTAATAGAACACATAGGCCTAAGCGTGATTTAAAAAAATCTTAAATCCATAAACCTCAGGAAAGGTCTTTTAAGATAACTGTGGTTCAATTTCGTTTTATCCTTTTGCAAGTTTCTTTAAATTTTTGTTTAATAATACTACTACTAATAGTAATAATAATAATAACAATGGTGATGATGATGACGACGATAGTAATAACTGATAATAATAGTAGCAATAAAAAGTGAAGAAAATTATGCTTAATGCGAAAAAAAGTTGTGATTTGTTGATCATAATATATTATATATAGTTAAAGCTTAGTAAGCTGTCCTGGATACCGGTATTAAGTAGATCCCTGATAAAAGATAATGAGAAAATTGTTGGCGTTTCAAGTTTTGACTATAATGGTGATGTGATGATTATGAATTTTACTATACAAAAGTGTCATTTCCGGCCATCTCGAGAGGTACTATTTCCTCAAATTTTCTCACCTTAGCCCCAGCCATGGTAGGGTGAGGTGGTTGTGAAATCACGTTTTTGAAGTAGGCCTATGTAAAGTACATACTCAAAGACAATGTTTTTAAGCTTTGTTTTCTATGGTATTTCCTCCATGATCACACACACATTAATAAGATCTCTATGGTTGTCAAAAATAAAAGATCATGAAAATTTTTTTGGCGCTTCATTTTGACTAATGGTGATGTGATGATGATGAATTTTAATAAAAGTGTCATTTCTGGCCATCTAGAGGTACTATTTCCTCAAATTTTTTCACCTCAGCTCCAACCATGGTGGGGCTGAGGTGGGTGTCGACTCACAAAATGCCCTCCCCTCCACCTTTCAAAACAGATCTGTGCCCTTCCTTGGGTAGGCCTATGACATTAAACTCCATCGATCGGCTCCTGATGTATGTCTTAGTTACTGCTGTTTGTTTTTAGGATGTGATCTGGTTTTTTGTGTCCATTTTTTGTGGTTATGACTATTCTGGATGAAGAATGTTTTGAGCAGAGGTGGATTCAAGGGCCCCCGCCCCCACTTTATTTTTTTAAGAAAAAAAAAATATATTCAAATTGAAGTGCGAGAGTGTAATTTCCGGCCATCTAGAGATGACCTAATCATAAATTTTCTTACCTCAGCCCCAACCACAGTGGGGCTGAGGTGGGTGGTTCCTCGGTCTGTGAAAGTCCCTCCCTCGTTCACCTCTCTTTCAAATTCCTGGATCTGCCACTGTTGATTTATTATATAATTATTTTTGCGCTTATTTATAATGCGTCTATTGCAATTTTCACTTTATCTTCTCAAACAGTCCTAAGAACGTTCACAGGGGGATTTGATTACGCAAAGCACCATATTACACTTTTTTAAGAACACATTTTATAAGAACACTGAGGCTGAAATTATAAAAACAAATTGAGGCTGAGGTAAAATGTCTAATGAAATTTCTATATTTAAAAACTCAAAAAAAAAAATTATATCTATTACCTTGTGTGCAGTAGGTATGTAATACCCTCTATAATGTAGGACAGTAAGTGTACAACCTGTCATTTTGGGCTATTTTTACCTGGGCAATTTTTCTGAGGCCATATTTTCAGAGTCCCTTTTTTCAGGGACCGTTTTTTTCGGGGCCACTTTTTACCTACATTCCAGTACAGTGTATACTGCTGTACAAAAATAATTTTCTATGTTTGAAAAGTGTGTATTTAAGAACAAAAAAAGAACATTTTGAGCCTGAAATCGGCCAAAAAATAAGAACACTGACTGAGCCTGAGCTAAATTTTACTGGTTCTTATTTTTTAAAAAGTGTATCAGGTTGAGAAACATTTCGGTATATTTTCCAGAATTTGATCCTAGAATCCTGATGTTTAAATTATACTACAGACGTAAATCTAATAAATTTTAAAATAAAATTTTAAAAATATTTGTGATGACGACGACAATGATGATGTGGATGATGATAAGATCAGGGGTTTAACAGCTCTCTCACTGGGTCCAGGGGCTCCAGACCTTACTTCAAATCGGCCTCTTTTTTAACTATTTTATTTTTAGGCCTATAATTATTATTTTATTCTTTTATATTAAAATTAGCGGAACGTGTAAACATTTGAAAATGCGTCCTTAAAACGGTTATGATGTCGATGATGATTATGATGAATCGATGGTGATAATGATGATGATTAGGCCTATGATGAATCGATGGGTGATGATGATAATGGTCGTGATGCCACTAAGACTCCCTCAGTTGGTATTTAGAAATTTTCTCTGACCCCCCTTTCTTTGAGGTTCATCGATTCATGGAAAAAAATACGTATGTAACTACCCATTTTTATTTTCTTTATGTAGACATAATGGTACACACATGCAGGCCAATTTACTGTAATAAGAATGAGAAAAATTTGTCTGACTGTTTTCAAGATCGAGGGTATAAAACCTTGGCTTTTGAAGAACTTAATGACCAATATTGCGCCTGTATGCTTCAGAACTCGGGAAAGCTCATTTCCCGCCATCTTGGAATCAAACTTTTCTTGGGGAGGACCCCACTCACCTTTTTTGAAAACATTTTGACACCCCCCACCCCGCCCAACCCACGTAAATTTTAACCCATGCATCCGCCCCTGATGTGTGAAATTACCAAACTTCTTAATTCAATGACACTCTGGAGTCGACATTACATATAATTTTATAATAATAATAGGCCTAATGATGATGATGATGATGATGATCATAATAATGATGATGATGATAATGACGATGACGGCGGCGGTGACGATGGCAGTGGGGGTGACGGTGACGATGATAATAATAATACTAATAATAATATCCGGAATTTATAAGGTGTAAATTTCAAAAGAGATCAAAGGCGCACTATGCAAGTGTTTTACCCTCGGAAAACAAATAAAAGTCTTGCGATTTAAATTTGCAGCGAGTAGAAAGGAGTATTAGGCCCTAGTAATTGGAAGCTGGTTAAAAAAGAGAAGCCGAGAAGGAGAATGAGCATTGACAATAGGTTTAGGAAGAATAGGCCTATTTGGTTTATAGGCCTATTCCATTCCATATCTGTTATGTACTCCTAACTTTATCTCACTCATACGTCCAAAAAGCCAATGCAATTTCCACCAAGCCGTTTAAAGAAAATAATAAATGATGTGCTGCGACCAGGTAAAAAATCGTGATCACGGTACATCGCCAGAAGTTGAAGAAAGTATTTTGGAAACGTTGCACTAGAGGGCGCTACATCTAATTGCACATTTTTTCGATCTGTGTTGATTTCCAAATTATGTTAAATTTAGATTGCTTTTATTATGCCATTTAAGTATCGGTAAGTTATTAGGCCTACATTTCAGTAGAAAAATATACTGAGCAAAATAATTCTCTTTAATTAACGGACGTTTGATTGTTTCTGGCATAGACCATAATTGGCTGTTATTCATCAAGAACTGCTGTAGTTTTGTCAGCATTTCTAAAAAAAATAATGTTTTAATGTTTCTTTTTAAAGGAGCTGCCGGTATTAAATATTATATTATTGGGAAGCGATTTTGAGGGGGCGTTTATTCGAGGGACGTGTGTGGTACAAAATTACCGCCAAAATGTGTTATTGCGTGATAAAAATATTTGATCCTAATCAGGTTAGAATGCTACAGGAGTAATACATTAACAGAACGTGTTGAGAATCATGTTGCTTCCATTAATTTTGTTTAGGCATTTTGGGAGGGAGGCGTTTATTCCAAATGGAGCTCTGGAAGGGGTGTTTATTGGAGGGGGCGTTTATTCGATTAATTACGGTAAATGTTTTTTTGAGGTTTTCCATATTATGACAAATGGTAGGCTTATACTTTAGGTCTAAGTGAGTTTTCTGAACACTTTGTGGTGAAAGAGTCGGAAGATATGGGTGAAGAAAAGTTTTGGTTAACTTCCTTAAGGCCTAATAAAAGCCATAAACTTATATCCTTAATTCGATATTAAAGTTGTTTAATCCCCAATGCACAATATAGGTCTTAATATAAAAGTCTAGGCCTATATCAAAATTAGGCCTATTTGATCTTTAATATCTGGTTATGGCCTACTCCAAATTCGTAGTGTCTGTACCCCAACTTTCTTACACAGGAATTAAAAAATCGGCACAAATTTAATAGGCTTTAAGGCTTAACATTATTTTAGTAATATTAAAACAATATACAGTATTTCCTATTATCGAGAATGTATTTTTAATCTTCGATTTTATACTCCAAACACTCCAAATTAGAGGTTTTGCGTCCTAAAACTATTATAATTAAAACAATTTTCTATTAGAGAACGAATTTCAAACCTCTGATTTCAGAGTCTGTCAATTGTTACGCAAAAACTCCAAAACCGGAGTTAATGCGTCCCAGGTGCCAATATACTCCTAGATCGGTGGTTGTGGCCTAAATCTGTCATAATTAAAACGATTTCAGTGGCGGATCCAGTAATGCGAAATAGACTTTCACAGATGGAATGTGTAGACAACATTAGCCCCAACCACTGGCTGAGGTGGATGGCCGGAAATGGTACTCTCAGACTTCTGAATATAATTCCCTTTTTTTCTCCACTTTTTTTCCCCCTAATTTTGTAAAATTTTTGGGGCCCGCACCCCCTCTCCTTGAATCTGCCAATGGATTTTCCAAAACAGAGACTTCAAATAGGAAGGTTGGGACGTCGCCAATACCATAATTCTCCCGACCACAAGTTTCAGCTACGCATGTATGCATACCTCTCTGGGGAGGTGGACAGAATTTTATTAAAATACTGTAGAAAATCACTAAACCTTAGTCTTCCACAGTACCAGAACCAACTCCTTAATTTTAATTAATTTTCTTTTTCTATATGTATTATTTTTGTATGTTTTTTGGATACACCACACATTTTGTATGAGTGCCACTGTATCAAACATGGATCCAATAAATTTATTGATTGAACTGATTCTTTTTACAAACAGACTTAAAGCTGGGCTGTAGTAAATTCTGGTTCAGGTGGGTAAAGCTGACCTTCCTCTACAAAAGTAGGAGTATAACAGGAGAGGTAGAAATAAGGTTGAATGATAGGTCAAGTTTTACAGCATCAGTATGAGAGACTCCGAAGAAAGTGCCTTATAAATGTTTACACATTATCGCTCATCTCACCCCATTCCATTCACAACTCCCTGTTATTTTTATCCCTTATTTTTTAAGGGATATCATGTTCTTACACAAAAACATTTGAAAAGACTTTAAGTTTCAAGATCTTTTATTCATACAAAATGAGTCTAAAGATAAAATATGTGAAACAAAATAATAAAAACAATAAGTAAAAATATATTAAATGCTTGCGGTTCACCATGTAGATAATTCTGAAAAGAACTGTTGTTTTTGCTGGGAAAATGTCGAAAACTTATACTGATTATAAATTAGTAACAGCGCCCTCATTAAATTGTTGGGACTGAACTACTGTATACCATTATTCAATCCAGATAGATCTCTCTCTCTCACACTCAGACAATAAATTACTTTAACTACTGAAAGTAAATGCAGTAGAACAGCTTGTTTCTGTATTGATCAGCCTGCAAATCTAGGCCTACATCACACACTATTGTTAGGCCTACTGAGATCATTATCTGTATACAAGAGTGATATTAGCACCCAAGACAAAGTAATCATAAAAGTGACATTTATACAACGCTCTACGCCACCAAATCAAGCCCAGAACCAGGCCCAGAACGCATACAATCATATTTAAACAATACCATACAGTTAACATGATAAAATAATAACAAAATCCTACAATGTACAATACTTTTATCATTCAGTATAAAATAAATAATTCACCAAATAATAAGTCTAGTTACAATAAAGAGGACCATACACCAACATTAGATGGTGTGACTCATGGTGTGCATCACTCCTTTTCCTTTCCTAATGCATTTAGTTTTATTGCAATTGGATTGTTTCTTTAATTTATATCCTATATTTTCATTAGGCCTACACAGTTCTTCCCTTCCTTTACTTATATTGATTTTAGAAAGATAACCATGACAAGAGATAAATATAATCTATGTTTTCTATAGATGCACTTTTTATGTTATTGTTGAGGCCAATGGAAGCAAATTTCTATATATGCATATACAGATAGTATAAGCAAAATGAATTATTTGTCTATTTGTGTGTACAATGTATTAAAAACAAAATTATTAACAACCTGAGTTATTTCTTAAATTTCTATAGTGAAAATGTCTTGAACAATGAAGATTTTACACCTTATTTGTATAGTATATTTATGAATTTTTGAAATATACATATCATAAATATATAAACAAAAATTGCCTATCATTCAACCTAATTTCAAAGCAGTACAGTACCAGAACTCCCCTTCCCCACTTTTCTACCCCACCCTTCTGCCTCAACCTCCCCATACACTACAGTCTATTCTTTTTCTTTTTACATTCTACAATATACTCAGTGAAAACACCTCAACATCTGTCTCTTATACACATCTAGATGTGTATAAGAGACAGTGTATGCGGCCTAATGGATAAATATATCTATATACTACACATCAAAATATAATTTAGGCCTACTTTGCATTTCCAATTGTAATATATAACTTTTCTGACCTCATAAATAAATTTCCTGTTGTTTTACTTTTATATAATAGTATACAATATTTCTATAGAAGTCAGCAAAATTCCTTGTAAAAGTACCATGTATATATCAATATTTGAAATATTGTAATATATTCTACTAAATATTATAGAAAAAGAACAGTTAAAAAAAATAAATTCAAAATGAATTTACAATCATATAAAAATATCTTTGCTTAATTTAATAATAAAAAATCTGATTGTATAAACCAAATTTCAGAAAGTTTTCAGACTACGTAATGACCACACCTTTGTACGCAACTTTCATCCTCGATCCTTCAAGCAACGTTGGCCATAGGTAGATCTTGATATGGTTTGATGAACGATTACTACCCGGTGCTCGTTGGTGGCGTACTTTATTAAATGTTACGCAGTCGTACTCAATGGTGTACGGTTGTGGTTGGATGGATAGCTGCCAAGCTATGTGCACGCACTGATGGATGTAGTTAGTGAGAGGAATTGAAGACTTGAGGGTGGGATACTCCGGTAGGGTAGAGAAAAGTTTAGCACATACATTCTGTCAAGAAAAGATATCAATATAATTAGCATTTATTCATTCCATGTAATAAATTAATATATATACATAAGAAAGTGCAATCTGAAGAACAAATAAAATGTACACGAGTGCATATTAAAAAGGAGGGGTGGTTCAGAATGTGGTAGAGTTGCCATGTGGAATTTTACCTCTATCTACTTCTCTATTAATAGGGGGTCCCACATACAATACCCCCGTCTGGACCGTGAATTAGTGTCAAAGTAGAACTTATGGAATAATATTTATAAGAATAAGCTTGATTGAAAATTTTGGTGAATACTACAACCATTCTTCGAACTACTATCACAGTTCACTAAACCATTTGTATGATCTTTGACCTCACAATTAAGACAATTATTAACTACAAGAAAACTTCTTTGATTTTTAATATTCGATAATATGTGGAATTTCATAATGATAATATGATTGTGAAATAATTTTTCTCATAAAAATAACATATTTCTATAAAGTTGTTTAAATAAACACTATGAATAATTATAATAAAAATCATAAACATTACAATGGGTAATGTGTTGGATTTTATACTAAGGTTAGCTTAGAGAGAGAGCAGCTTAGCTCAGTTGGCTAACCTGGTGGTAGCCATTGTGTGTGCACTGAACTGTGGAGATCTCTAGGTCCCCCGTTCAATTCCCATCGCTGCCTCTCCTTGTGTTTCAGCTGGAGGGCTGAAATACAAGTTACAATAGCGCACCGTCTTTCAGTGATACATTTAAGCCGTTGGTCCTGTGTGCATTTATTGCCCATGTGCATGTTAAAGAACGCAGTACACTCTTTGGAAAAGAGTAGGGGATTGTCTCCCGGTGTACTGCCCAATCACAACCAGAAGGACCCCACTGGGAAAAAATCTTCTTCTAGACTTTTGTGGGCTATCCTTTGTGTTTACATCAAATAAATCCTATCCAATCCAAACAAAACACAGACAGCAGAAAAGAGCTCAAAATTTAGAGAGCTTAAAATCAGGAGATGAAAAAACAAAAAGCTACACAAAGTAATATTTGTTTTTGTAGGATGTAAATAAAAATAATAATAATAATAATACAACTGTATTTATATAGCGCCTAATGGATCACAGATCCACTACGCATTTTACATAAATCTTAAACTATGTTGGAAAACTATCCCCTGCCGGACACCAACCCAGTATTTCTGAGTCTAGGTTTTGGGGCAAGAAATTACACGGTTTGGCTTAACTACATTCATTAAACTGCAAAATGGTGAAAAGCTATCCCCGCCGGACACCAACCCGGAATTTCTGAATCAAGGTTTCGGGGCCGAAAAAATATAACTGAAATACATATATTTGTGTAGCATAATGGTAAATCTTAGATATCAAAGTAAACACTAGCAGTGATTTGGTCAATTGATCCTACTGATGATGGCTACTACAACAGTTACAATTTGTTTGGATTACCTTTGACATATGGCTCAGATCCATATTCTCACAAATGTTCCTCAGAAATGTGAACAAGTTACTTTCTAAGTTGTGTGAATCCTCCTTAAACCGTAATAAGCTACGCATATTTTTCTTCAAGAGATGTAGAGAACTTTCTGATGCACGGAAGGCAAGCTGAAATATAAGAAATTGGTTGATGGACTATCAAAATTATTAAGAGAGTAAATACAGCTCCAATGCCTTAAAAATCGAAGCTTTAACTTAAATTCTTGAATAGGCGCTGCTCTCAAATAAGAGCTGCAGTGCTTATTGAGAGTACTGTACATATTACCCTGTTATGTTTGTATTGAAACACTTTGAGAAACAGGGTTTTAAATACAATGTATACAGTGTTCAAATAAATAGATAACACAATGAAGACAAACATATATCTGTATAAATGTTACGATGATGTAGGACCTATGATAGGACTACTGAACTACGAGAATATGTGATATAGGTAACATGGGAACTGGCATGGAACACACCACGCCATTATTTTTTTACCAAGCGCCACTCTCAACTAAGTGCCTCCAGAAAAGTTAAAGCGCTGCTGCGCTTACTTGAGCATTTTACGGTATGTTTACATGTCAGCTTTTGTGACACGCGCGTAGAGTACAATAGTCCTATTTCAGTCCTTTCCAACATTGAATTCAATCAAACATATTTATTTATTTAAACAGGTGAATTTTCTTTGTTAAAATCAATGTTAAAAAATAAAAATGCTAAAATGCTGATATTGAGGAGCTATTTATAATTTTTCAATTTAATTTTCTTTACTGCATGGTAGTAATTCATAGCTTTTGTATTTGTTCCCACAATGATAAGTTAGATAGATGTTTGCCTGAAATAATTTGATGATGAAAATATAGCTGTGCTCAGTTCATTTTGGAATGTATTGTTTTTTCTTTAAATCTTGAATCCCAAATGTGATAACATTCAAGTGCTAGTATATTTTTATCCAATTTTGCTAACCAGTTGTTAGATATAACTGAACTCTGAACATGACCCTAAAAAAATACAGGTGCTATACACCAAAAATCATTAGGTTAAACCTTCCTGCTGAGGTTAGTTTGGAACTTTTTTCCTGACCACAAACCAAATGCTTCTGCCACCCTTAAAAGGAAATGAAAAAAAAAATGGAAGACATAAAATTACCACAATGACTGAAAAAAGAAGCTTGTCTCTTAGGTCATCTCCATATTCAAACTGATTCATATCAGCCATTATATTGAGAACGGTCCAAGCATCTGCACGCACTTCAGTGTACAGCTTATCAAATTCGTACACTAAGTTACCGACATTATCGTCTGGCCCTCTATTTTCAACAGACAGCTTGGCCTGATCGCATTCTTTATTCTTTTGTGTTTCTTGAGTTAATCTAAATGAAAGGAGAGAAAATGAGTACAGTTATGTGTTTTATGAACCTCTTAATAGATGGAAAAACCCATTTCAATACCTTTAGTGTGCATTTCTAATTCAATTTTTAAATTGAATCCAGTTAAGATTTTTTAACATCTAGAAGGAAGAAATTAATTAATAAATTTGAGGGAATGATCTGGAGTAGTTTTGGAACCAGAAAGGTGCGGTGACACAAACCTCACTATTTTGTTAAAGCTAAGCTGCATATGTGGAGGCATAGTGGTTACTTATGCTTGCCTTCCAATCCCTGGGTCTCGGGTTCAATACCTGTTCTCACAACCAAAAACAACTCGACTTCCTAAGCCTCATAATGATACTTAGTTTATGTACAGCATCCTATGTTTATGTCATTGGTCACCTATGGGTAGGACAGTGATTAAATTGCTATTTTCAATTTTTGGTTCATGTGCCAAATTTAATAGATCATAAGTGTCACTTACTTATGTATCATCTCACTTTCTCGCTGTCGCAATGTGGTTATATCTTCCATTGCTTTACTAAGTTCCTTTTTCATTGCTTCCATCTCTAGTTGAAGAACTTTCTCTTGTTGCTCAAGCCTGCTTCTTTCTTTCTCCAGCTGCTCTCGAAGGGACCTCTCCTTTTTCAGTAACTTCTCTGTTTCTGTCTCTCCATGATTGTTGTTGTTCATTTGGAGTGAATTACTTGCTGGCATCTGCCTTGATGTTTGCTGTTCAGGTTTTTGGACATTCTCTTGTCTGGTGCTACCCCTTGCCATATAAGACGGTGTATTTCTCCCTTCCATATTTCCCTCTGTAACACAAGCCAACAATTTAAAAGTATTTATATAGCTTTTACAATAATTTAAATTATTTAAAAAAAATTAATTCTGATTATATTAAATAAGAATTCCTGTAATTTCTTTTTTCTGAGGGAAGGAGGACCTGCCATCGTGGCCCCATGGATCCACCCCTACTGTAATTATTGAGCTGACTAGATTAATGCTAGCACAACCAGTCGTACCTGTAGTAGCTTAAAATTCCCAACAACTTTAGTTGCTTATATTTTTTACTATTTAATTATCATTTTTATAGTCTTATGTTTGTACAATTTCTATACTGTAACTCAGTTGGTATACTTCTGTATTACATCAGAAAAATGTATTCTAATTGTGGTATTACTTCCTCAAATAAATGAATTGTATTTACATTCATACAATACCCATATCATGCCTTACTCATACACCAAATTGTGACTCACAAAAACTCACCACAAAACTTTTGTTTAGAATCAAACAAGTAAAATCAATTGTCTTATTTATACATAAGCTTATACAAACATTGCTTCTGTCTGCTCCATTAAAGACATCTAAAATACTAAACTGTTGTTGAAATATACAGTACAGTAATATCTCAAATGTTTGTCTGAAATTGATGCATGCCTCTTCCCCAAGTATCTTTCTTATATACAGTATTCAGTATGTCAGTTTGCAATATCCTAGATGTAATATTTATTAGATAAATAAGAATTCAAGTAATGGTATGATTTGTGTTAAGTATGCTGTTAAAAAACATTGTATTTGTATGCCAATTTTTTCTGTTAAATGATGAAACACGGCAGGCACAAAACAGGGAGCACATGCCCCTGTGCCGCTATCAAAATCCATTCCTGATATATTTATAAGTTATATATAAATATACAAATATAGCATTTTGTTTATGTTATGTTTTATTGATGCGCAAAGATAGTCAGCCATTGTCTGCTGATTTGTGCTGTGTTTATACCTGATACAAAGTAATTATGCAACCATGTGCATAGTTATAATGCATGAAAATGGTAAAACTGCAATTCAAAAAATCTTTAAAAATCAGTGAATAAATTGATTTACTTGTTTAAATGGATCAAATATTATGTCTGCATATACATCTATACACAGAGAAGGATCCAGAATTTTTTTTAAACTAGTGGACACCAATTTCATATAGGCCTAGATGTCATGATGAAGATAAATAGCTATCCAATGATGGTATGGTTTGTGTTCAGTATATGCTTTTACAAAACATAATGCAACATTTGTATTAGTATACCATTTTTTCTTTTTTTCTTTTATAAAATTGAAAATGGCTCATTCCCCCGTGCCTCTCCCTGAATCCACCACTGAATGTTAGCATTTTGTTTATATTTTATTGTTGTACAAACATAGTCAGCCACTGTCTGCTGATTTGTGCTGTGTTTACACCTGAATAAATATATAAATAAATACAATATAATTACACAGCCATGTGGACTGCAGCTACATCAGGGAGTTGTTCACTATAGAAACTCCCTGGTTACATACTGTAATGCAAGAAAATGATAAATCTGCAATAACAAAAATCTTTAAAATTCAGTTAATAAAACTCAATTTAAAAAAAAGGATCTAATGAGAAACAGATTAACACAATTCAGTGAAAGAATAGTAATAATCATTTACAAAAAATAAGGACCATAAAAAATGAATAATAATAATAATAATGATATAAAGAACATCAACAATAATCATACATTATTGTTAATACTGACCATAATTAATTACTTTTTTATGAGACCAAACAAACCAATGATTCAATTCAAAATTACCAGCAATCAAATTCAGTAGACATATGTTATACATGAATTAGGAATGCAGCAAATTTAAAAAGACTCCCAAACATATTAGCTGTCATTACTAATACAGTTGTCGATACAATTAAGCATTGCCAAGGTAGACTGAACTTCATTACAAAGGTGGCCATCAATAAGTTATTCTTTGAAGAATCTATCGCACAGCTTTCATAACTGCTCAAGCTGCAGTAATATAAAAACACAAAGGGCAAGGCTTTCACGCCAAGAAAATAGACATTCGGTAAATAGCTACAGCGGTACATATCAACAATCATACAACACGGTGAAATTGAGTACATTGCAGGGTTAAGGCATTGTCCATGAGATGAATAATATTTCATACTCTCTAATACAGGCACAAGTTATTGTACTGGTATTTGTGCAGAATTTATATGACAATAACATCATTACATAATAAAAAGAAATATGATAAAATGAAAAATGGCAAAATAAACCTATTTTTTTTCGCAATAATTATCTAAAAGCACCTCGACAATAATCATCAACAAACATATATTTTCATGAAGCTCTAGAATAAGCACTGCAGCTCTTTTAAGAGAGTATTCCATGTTGAATCAAGAGTAAACATTACAACATGCCTTGATACTTCTTATAATCAGGAACTATTGAACAACCGATCTTTAACTAAAAAATTAATGTTAATCAAAAATCTGTGAAGTCATAATTTAGTACCATTTAAAGACATGGATAATTTATAATAAGCACTGTCAAATTGCTGCACTGAAGCATCCAAAAATGTTTAAAATGCTGCTGCACTTAACAAGTCATAAGGTGAAGATCTGATTCCCAAATTGCTGACCGACTACAAGGGCGGATCCAGATAGGGGCCATGTGAAGTGTGAAGCACTGAGTGTGGTGGTGGGGAAGGGCGGTTGGATATTTGAGATTTTTGTTTAAAAATGCTTTACCAAAACTTTGATACATGGAATATAAATAAAAAATAGCTATTTTGGAGTACTATACTCCCTTTTTTCACCTATACTATTGTAAACATTCATATAGTACCCATATCATGCCTTACTCATACACGAAATTGTGACTCATAAAAACTCCCCACAAAACTTCTGTTTGGAATCAAACAAGTAAAATCAATTATGTTATTTATACTTATACAAACATTGCTTCTGTCTGCTCCATTAAAGACATCTAAAATACTAAAATGTTGTTGAATATACAGTAATATCTCAAATGTTTGTCTGAAATCAATGTATGCCTTCTCCCATAGTATCTTTCTTATTCAGTATGTCAGTTTGCAATATCCTTCTGGTAATAATCAACTTTTTACAGGTATTCCTCAATTGTTTTATCTATATTTATACTTTATTCTTTTTGGTTTATTTATTCATATCTATATAGTTAATTTAATGTCTGTAATATAACACTAAATATATTTTTATTTTATACATATATTTAATCAATTGTTTAAGCACCGGGATCCAAATTTCGACAGTATCATGTTGTATTTTCAACAATATACACTCCTTGTATCTTTGATTCCTTGATTCAGAATTGGATATGGGGTGATTATTACAAATAATATTGGTTATTGTTTTTTGACATAGCGACAGGTTGACCAAAACTCTATTATAACTACATGAGATATTTTACAAATTTGAAACATATAATATTTAAGTGTCTTTTAAATTTTATTGGGAAATGTTTCCCAATTTTGAATGTTCAATTGAAATTTCAATAACTATACAATGTACACAATTGAATTATATTTTATTGGCTCAACTTTGATGTTTTGTCTTTATTTAAAGGTGTCAAAGTGTATTAATTCACTAAAGGAGATGATGAAAACTACACTAACATTAAACACTATGTCATATTTTTTATAGAACCACTGGTGTTCCTAGATTAGTCACTTTGTCTTTCACCAACACGAGTTAATCTCACCATCATTCATCAATATCACATTTACACTGCAAGAATTCTGAATTTCTATAGTTGAACACAATTTCCAAGAGATAAAATCAAAACAGTGGCTGATTTTTTTCTCTTTTGAATACTGGGTTACTTGTGAAGGGGGATTATGACAGCGCATATCCGTTCCATTAGATAATTAAAGCTATCCATTCCCTAATCAATCTTGGAACCCGTTACCCGTCGTTGCTTTTGTCAATCATACTGGCAACAACAATGATGACAACAATGAGACACCTGCTCGACGATATATCGCATCAACAAATATCGACTGCAACAAACTCATCCTATAATTGGCTCAGTCAAATAAGTTCACAGCTCCTCCTATTGTTTACTCTGAGATTTTGTTCATTAGGAATCGTTAATGACTGGCCAGGGAATAATATGAAATTATGACATGACAAAATTTGATTTTTTTTTTCTTGTTTGCATGAAAATTTTATTAATATTATGTATTTAATTTGAAACTACAAGATAAAAAACAATTACAACTAAACCAGAGAAAGACAGACTAAGTTGGGGCAGTAGAGAAAAATACAAAAATAATAACAATGACATTAATAATAATAATAATAATAATAATAATCAAAATAATTAATCAAAAGATATAATTTGAATATTAAAGTAGAGTCTGTTATATTTTTTCTTATTTCTGAAATAACAGGAATTCTGCTATTGATTTTTGAGAAATCTTTCTCCTTGATCCGTAATTAAATATCTGTTCAATTGCTTATAAAATGAATATGGATTGTCAACAACAGCATTTTATTTCTGCTTTTTCAGACAGGAATGAGGCAGACGATATATGTTGAAATGTATATCGGGGCTATGTAATACTAGGCTACGTTTTAATAGCTATATATTGTAACCATGCTCGTCTCCAGAAAGATCACATATAATTAACATGGCAGACTTATAATGAAATTTTGGACCAATAACACAAGCCTTCACTGGCAATGAATGTCTGACTCTGCAGGTGTATGCCACAGCATATTTTATAGCATATTATTATTATACATAAATTACTCTTAGCTACCTTTCTATTTCCTTCTGAATTCCAGGGAGGGATAAATACATCCAATCTATTCATCAAATACAAATTTAAATGAAGTATAATTTGCAAATAAATCTTGAACATTTTCAGAGAGTAAATGTTTAGATACCAAATTAGAAAAGAATTCTAGTAAATGCAAATATAATTTCACTAATAGTAGTTGTGTAGTTTTATTAGGAATAATAATTTTTAAGTACCTAGAAATACAAAAGATGCTTAAATTTCAATTGAGATAGCATTGGAAAATGCAACATCTACTTGTCCTTTTAACTAAAATGAAAATTACATCAATTTTATAAATAATGTTTAGTTTCCAAATACTATGATCAAATAAAGAAAATATATAGAATACAAGAAAATCCCATAATAATATTCTAATTTTAAAAATGAATATAAAAATCAAAGCAAAAGAATCAACAAGTTTAAGAAGACATATTAGTTTTCCAACAACCCAAGTAAAATTTGCATATCTCACGTTTTAAAAACGACTCAGGTTCTTCTTTGCCGAGCAGAAAATGACTTGTTTGATCAGATGAGAGGCTTGAACTTCTGCTATGTGTTGATGCTAGGGAAATCCCTTTCTCCTCTAAAACTTTGCGGCCAACAGCTAATTTGGTAATCATTATTAATTAAAATTTAGTTTTTGGAATTCTTATATTTTACAATTTATCAACATCTGGAATTAAAAATATACCCAGTGGCATATACTGTATAAGGGGTGGAGTAGGAATATTTTCCCAGATAAATGTTGCACCTTCAACATTGCCTTCCCACTAAGAACATCAGATGAGCAAAAGAACCCCTTCAAGTAGCTAAAAATTATCTCATTTCTCCCAACTAAATTTTGCCTCACATTCCTAATCTGCCAATCCCTTATCAGCCTCCCAAATGGTACCCCACTTTCCCTACCCCCACTGCCAAAAAAAAAAAAGAAATGGCAATACATCTAGATATTTGTCTTTGGATATACTGTCAATGTCATTGGCAAAATTGGGAAAGACCCTCAAACATTCAATGAAAACATCTATTTGCTCATAAGAGTAATAAAAGTTGTCAATTTCCAATGGGATAACAGATCCAAACATTTCAATCTGCTTTAAGTAGTTAAAGCCAGGCTCTGGAGGTAAACACAATGTTGATATTTTGTACACCTAATTTTTCTAAGACACAAAAAGGGTTTTTGACGAAAACCATTCCCGATTTTTATGTCAAACACCGTTGTGTCTTAGAAAAATCAGTCGTACAACATACCAAATTGTTTTTGCATCCGGAGCCTAGTTTTAAAGAATGTTATAAGAAAACCCTTTATTACCAGTCAATTTAGGGTCTACAGTACAATACAGTACAACTAATGCTCTGTACATACTATCAAAGGTTGCGTGATGTGCCCATATACGATGTCATATTACACCCAAATATGGGCATATCTCAGTTATTTGTCACAAAATTTGATAGTGTGGACAAAGTTAAAGAATTTGTGATAGGTATGTTAAAGCATATTTTCATTGGCATGAAGATTTCCCATTCTAATATGCAATTAAAAGCTAATCATTAAAAGTAAATTTTTTAAAAATATAGTTAAATTTTATAGATACTGTTTCCCGTAAATGCTCCAATAAGCACAGCAGCGCTTATAAAATACGCAATTGAAAGCTAATCATTAAAAGTAAATAAAAAAAAATATATAGTTAAATTTTATAAATACAGTTTCCCGTAAATGCTCCAATAAGCACAGCGGCGCTTATAAAAGTTTTGGAGGATTCAGAGCGGCTTTTATTCAAGAGCAGCGCCTATAAAAAAATATTAGCATGGCACTTTCCATGTTACCTATCTCATGTATTCCCGTAGTTCAGTAGCTCTTTCATAGGTACTACATCATCGTAAATAAACGTTTATAAGGAAATACTTGTGTCTCATTGTGTTATTTATTCATTTTAACACCATATACATTGTATTTAAAACCCTGTTTCTTAAAGCGTTTCATTACAAACAGGGTACTATAATCTTGATTAAGTGCCACGATGCTTAGCAAAAAAATCAGGTTTGGTGCAGCGCCTATTCAAGAGGGATGCTTATTCGAGAGCGGCGCTTACTCGAGAATTTACGGTATGTTAGTTTATTATCTCTACATAGAGAGTATAAATTTAGGCATTTTGACCTATTTGTATACTTTACCTCTTGACATAGAAGAGACTTGGTTTATCCTTTTAATCATGGAATGTAATTCACGACTATCTTCGACGCTGTCCGACCGAGGGCGTGATATAGTCACCAGGCTTCGATCCAAAGAGCGACCCCTTGTCCTATCTCTCGAACCTCCACGTGTAGTCCTCCTGCGATCTTTGGACCTGCTACGTCGTTCCCGTTTAGGAGCACAATCTGTATCTTCAGGAGGCTTTATTAAAACTGGGAATTAAAAATGATGTCATTTAGAGCATTAGTTTTGTTACTATAGTAGAAGTGGTTTGATATTGCAGCAGGAATGGTTTGGTTTCCCAACCTAAAGGTTAGGGTTTCAATCCCCTTGAGCAAGGCACTTTATTTGCATTGCTTCTCTCCACCCAAGTATGTACCAGTAGGGTTAAAATGCCAAAATTCGCTAATTAGCTACTGCAACGTTATGGAGTATTCCCCCAGGAAGCTGAGTTTGTGTTTCACAGGCATTTAACCCACAGTGGTAATGATAATGTGAAATGCATAGAGGTCATATGAATGATATTAATGCAATATATACAGTAAGTCTATATAAAATTATTATTATTATTTTTGATCAAACACATATTGAATTTCGTAAGCTGCCTGTGAAGCTTCATTTTATAGGTAGAATTTGACGCTACCAATACCCACTTATAATTTTGACTTTACACGTCTAGGTGGAATGGCAACCACTCTGTGCCAAACTGCTTAGTTAATATAATGAAATGCACAGTAATTGGGAATGGGGACAGGGCAGTGTTGGTAACAGAAATTCCCCGACGAGGGGTCTAAGACCCTTGACAGAGGGGGTTCAAGGTTCCCGACAAGATGCAAGTTCCTACAGGGGTCCAAATCTACCTCAGAACCCACCATGTTTGGACCAAATTTCAAGAATAGGCACCAGTCTCTAAATGCTCTGAAATGGCACTCTCAGGCAATGAAATGCTTTTTTAAAGCAACAGTGGTGGATCCAGGAATTCGAAAAAGAGGGGGCCCTGTGGTGTACTGTACTTAGAAGTCTTAAAATGGGGGTGCTGAAGGGGGAGCTCAAAGTTGAGAGGTGCTAATTAGCAAAATAAGGTGATTTTTAACTACTAAAAACTGTAATTTTTTTGGGGGGAGGGGGGACGACTGGCGACTCAGCCCCACCATGGTTGGGGCTGAGGTAGAACATTTATGGTTATGGCACCTCTAAATGGCCAAAAATGGCAATCTCAGACCTAAATTTGATTATCCTTTTTTGTAAAAAAATTAGGGGGCCCGGGCCGGCTCGCCGCCCACCTGGATCCGGCACTGAGCAATGTTCCCCGACGAAATAATGGGGTCTAGGATTCTTTGACTAATGAGGGTGGGATGATGTGCAATGTCATTTTTATATGATTCATTTACCAGGCAAGCTTCCATGCACACAGAATATTGGCAACATTATAGTACATTACAGCAGGCCTATATGCCCACTATTTCCTGCATAATAGGCAATTGAAAGTTTATGTCAGAGACCTTGCAACAATGCTCCTTTTATCCCATACCAGATCCAAGAACTACCACAGGAAATTGACACTCACTATTTTCTTGAGGATACGTTATGACCTCATTTAGTCAGGCAAAAATGAGTAACTATTATCTCAGTATAATAAAGTTTCCCATATTCAGTATCAGGTATTTGGCAAAGCTTAATAACTTTCTTCACCGACTGTGCTAGAGTATATATATGCATATATAGCATGACACATAGATAATATAAAGGTTAGTTTAGTGTAATAAAATAGATTTCAAAAATGTTGACATTCCAGCATGTTTTGGCTATTATCTCTGAAACAGGAAAAGTGACTAGTTTAGCTTGTCTTTCCCACATATATAAACAAAAACCTAAATTAAAACATTTCATTTCATTTAGTTTTATTGTCCAATTTTAAAAAGGAAAAGCAGAGCGGAAACAATTCATTGCATATTTAAAAATAAAAAATTGTACACACAGTAATGAAAAATAAAATATGGCATTCAAATACATTAAAATGTGAAAGAAAAATTTAGATTTAAAATTTACATTTTTCTTCCAAATTTCTCAACTATTTTTACATTTCAAAATCAAATCAAAATCAAAACAAAATTTATTCAAAAATATCATTGACCCCCTTGTAACCTTCCAGCCAAATTGTGACTGATTAATAACAAACTACATGAACCTAATTAATCTAAATATTTAAATTACAAAAATGTACTTCAATAAAGATGAATTTGGTGGAAAAATTTATTTAAATGAAAGTGGATATGTACATTACTATGGGTTTTCAAATATAGTGTTACAAGTTTAAAAACAGAATTCAATATATAAAATAAATAAATAATAAAATAATAGTATTTACAGTATTTAGCAAATACAGTGTACAGAAATAAAACAACATGGTTTGCCCAGTTGAATGTGCGAAAGAACAAACAAGATTATTTGTTCCCTATGCTTCATAATAAAATACAGTAGTACAAAAAACAATCAGAAAAATTAATCAGATAAATAAAAATAGATAAAATGCTTAATATAATAATAAATATACAATTATAATAATTAGATATACAATTATAGTATTCTTTAATCACTACACAATCCATTGTCACAATACACGTTTCAGGAGTACAAACATCAGTAACAGGTGAATGGACAATGATTTTCTACACAATCCAAGGGATTAGGGGCTGTCCTTACAGATTACTTACAAGGAGATAAACTAAATCACCTGAATAATGTAATTATTTTATCTATGAACGCATAATCTAATTTTATACCATGGGTGATCTTTTCAGTTTATCCTAGAAGGTAAGCTGATACTCAGTGACTCTCATAAAATACAAGATAACATTTGTGATTCTTTACAAAGTCTCATTACAAGGTTACAGTAGGAGTGTGGAGATGCTTTTCAGTCGTAAGATAAAGATCCTCTGCTGTCAGTGGATTTGAACATAGACCCTAAGATTTCAATTATTGTGTCCTTGACCTTTGACCCTGGCCCTTCATAATTTAGATCTTTGTTAAAGGAACATTGTGGTCGAGTTTGAAAAATTTTCCAAAAAACTGTTTCAAAAAATTGTTTTTTTTGTTGATTGTGACCTTGACCTTTAACCCTTACTCTTAAAATGCTTTGAGATCTTTGGTCATGAAACATTGTGACCAAGTTTGACAATTTAAAAAAAAAAAAAAAAAAAACTTTTATCACATGATTGCACTTTTGCTGAAAAAAATTATTGATTGAAAAAATGTACGGTACAAACAATTAAAGAAAATAGAATCAAATTTATTGTGTAAATAGTACGGTACAAACAATTAAACAAAATTGAATCAAATTATTAAGTAATGGTAAACAGAATGAATTCTGTCTGGTCATATGAACAAATGTGTTCATAATCTAATCATAATGTGATTCTGTCGACCATCAAATACAGGTTCAAATGAATCTGTGAAATTTTTTTTTTTTAGCTGTTTAACTTTTTTGCATGTATGATTGTTATGTTTTGTCTCTTTTGCATTGTCTTGTTAAATAATGAATGAAAAAAAAAGTTTGACAAGTTTGTGATTAAAACTATGGGCTGTATTAGACAAATAAATACAACAGTACAACAGGGCAGTAGGCCTACTTACTGCACACTATTTCATTTGAAATGGCACAAGACCTGAATACAATTTAGGTATCACTCGAAATGTAGGCCTAGTAGGATTTTGTGTTTTACATTTTTCATTTGCCTTGCTGATGTTACTCAAGCTAGTATTATAACAATAAAGGATTTTCTATATCATTTTAACAATTATTTTAAAGCATGATAACTACAACAGGGCAGTAATTAATGGCACAAGACCGCAATAAAATTTAGATTGTATCACTCTAAAAGTACAAGGATGTTATAGTTTTGTGCAGTGCTGTCAAAGTTTGCTCCTAGGATTAATAAGAATAGACTGTTGAATTTTCCCACACTGGGCGACAAAAGCCCATGAAAAGCCTAAGTGATCCGCGCAAGCATTGCCTTTGAGTGAATGGAGAGGTTTGCATAGTGAAATCTTCATAACAATAAAGTACCTGGTACAATATACAGTATTTCCTTGTAGTAACAAGTAACCTACTGTACAGCCATTTATTAATCCTTTGAGCAAATCAGAAGCTCAATTTTAACATCGAATAACTCATTTATATTAATAAAAGTGTTAAAGTATAACACAGGTCAAACCAATTTAGTTTTCACTGAGGTCAGGTTCACACTAGAGCCCTAGTATCTGGATCGGCACTAACCGTTAGCACCATATGAGAACGCCCGATCGGTTAACACCATTACCGTTACCCGGATGTGGATATGCTAACGGTTAGCTATCGGTTAGCAAGTTGAGCACGTTTCTATCATTAACAATCACACATACCCACATTTGCAAATTCCAGTTTCCTATTGACGTGATCCCACCGTCATCTTTCTTATTTTATTTTATTTTATTCCTTACAGCCAGTACAACAAAAACAAAATCAATAAAGAAAGAGGAGGGCTGAGAAGTGGTAAAAGCAGTACAAAAACTACTATCACCGGATATGGTGCGCCCCTCCGACATCTTAATATCTTGATATCTGGACGGGGATTTTCTTGTATGAACGCACGGGTGAGCACGTAAATTTGTAATAAACATAGCCCGATTCACCTAAATTTGATTAACAGCCTATACATTAGGTAAAGTAACGATCCCCATGAACTACTGTACAGAAATTATCAGAAATTACAAAATTATAAAAATACTTGTCACATTTCATAAAAATAATCAAGAAATGACAGTTTAATTATGCTAATTACCTCGTTTAGAATTCTCTTTTGTATTTCCTTCCAAAGGGATAAAATTTTCCTCATCACTATAATAACCTTGTGTGGAGTAAGAGGCAGATTCCGATATCTGTTCGTCAAGCATATCCTTAAAGAAGTCCAGTACAACCTTAAGGCTTTGTGAATACTTAGCAATTACAGAAGCAACTTGCGAATTGGCAGGGATTGTTGATATTTCCTTGCGGAGTTGGGAGAATGTTAGTAATGCGCTTTTATCAAATTCAATCCTATCCTGTAGCGTCCGTAGTAATGACGGTAGTTGAGCGTTCATACTTGGTTCAATAGCATTTAGAACGGTTTTATTTTTGAATAATCGGCTTTGAATCTCTTCCTGGCTGAGAGTCATAAGTTTCTGATGGTTTCCATTGCTTGACTTTTTCCCAACGTAAGAATTAAGTGTCACCGGTTTCTGATGGGAGAGGCTCAACTTATCCAGCTTGCCAAGTGCAGTCTTATAGGCGTGTATGGCGTGTTCAAATTCTAGTTTTAGTGCGTCATGAAGATTCATAAGCTCACCATCAATACTCACTAAGCTGTGTTCCCCTATCCCTTCGAGAGTGGCTTCCATAAGTTTTCTACGGTTATACAGAATCTTAATCATATCCGGGAACACAAACATAACCATTCTTAAGATATTCACGATAGCTTTGATGACATTGTCGCCACTTAATAGTAAACCATTTTCTTTCTTCAGCAGTTGGTCATCTCGTGAACTGAGATAACAAACAATATGAAAAACGGTGTTCTCAACATCTAGTTTAGTAATAGGAAAATTATCAGGATCAGCGATGAAAAACTTTGAATAAAAACTTTCAATTAGAATAAGCGAATCTGGAATATTTTCAACTATTGGAACAATTGGAATTTCTGGAAGTATTGTTTTTAATGTTACCAAATTAAGCTGGTTTATAAGGTGAGATGCATCATCAAATTTATTCTTTTCAACCAAGAGTTGAAGTTTGTGAAGAGCGAAGCCTGGACTGATGTCTTGCACGTTAATTGGACTAGCGGCATTCTGCGAAAAACTGTGCACCCAGGTGGAGTCTCTCCACGGTATATCACTTGCTGAGGTACGCTTTTGTCGTCCTCTTGGCTTGATTACCTTTGGCTTTACGTGACTCATCTTGAAGCGGGATGTGACAAACTCACACGCTAAGAACCTCTGAACAATTTAGGTGTCATAACCTGTTAGAAAAATAGAAATAAAAATTGGAAGTGATGTATTGTCAGTGGCATATCTTGGAGTGCAAATAGGTGGGATGATGGGGATGCCAATGTTCACAAAGATAATAAACAAAAATACCAAGCAGCATGTAGCAGATTTAATACAATAAAAATAAGATAACAATAACAATTAATAAAAATAACAATATAATAGGGCCTATATAATATAAAATACAAATGCAAATAGGCCTAGGCCTACAATAAATACATTTTCATATTTTTTACATTTTTTTTAAAACTTTGTATTTATTGGAAAATTATACAAAATCACTTCATTATGAATTAAAACATTCATTGTGTAGGCATGGGGGAATTAGTTTAAGAAATACTTCTGGCTTCTACTTGGGCTTGTTATTTGATACCACTACAGTATCGTACATTTATATCAATAATTTTACTCATCATAACTTAAACTTCTTTAAGCCTTTACAACAAAAAGAATAATTGAACGTCAATTACAAAAATACGATACTTTACGTTCAAATTCATTACCCTGAGACTTCATTACCATCCAACCATACCGCAACACTGAGTACGTCTCTTCTCGTCAAGAAGTGAAGTCAATTTTTCGTTAATAAATTCGCTGCTGCATCAATTATATCAATAAAAAGAACGAACAGGTTGATAATATGCTAAGAAAAGAACATGCATGCCTACGTGAAACTCACCTGTAGATTACAATGCCAGTAACGTCGGTTCTTCTTCGTCCGTCTGACTCAGTACTTAATGATGTCAACTTACAACTTCCTTGCTTACAGTTACTTTTTCACACGCGTCACGATCGTCACCATATCGTCACAACATCCACAACATGTAGTCTACCGCCACCTTGCGGTTATGAAAATAAGCAAAGTAAACATGCATAAACAACACGAAAAATGGATGTCTTCTCTTCATGAATAATTAAAGTACGAACGAACATAAAATTGATGTACTTTGTGCAGATATAGAGTGTAGATATTCAATTTAGCGTAAGTTGAACTTCAGGTATCTATCTAAAGCTTCTCTTTATGTGTATTCAATACACAATACTAAGCCTAGGCCTAAATCGGGGTAGGCTACTACTAGACTAGGCCCTAGGCCTAGGCGGCCTCAAGTGTAGCATAAGCCTAGGCACATATTATTTTGGCCCTCTGGCCTGCATTCCTCCCTCTGCCTAGCTAGCCTTCCTAGACCGCTGCTATAGCAAGCACAACTATGGCACAACTATATATGTAGACTAGGCCTACTGATATACTTTGTTTGTGTCATAGGAAATGTAAGTATAATTAGATAGCCAAAAAAGTAACCAGGAATTTTCCATATAATTCTTGTGAATTTTACATATACAGCAAATTAAAACAGTGCAGTAGTTAAAACATGAAGGTATAATAAAATGAAATTATTTTATTCCTCCAAGTTTCAAATAGAAATTAAATGAAAATGAAGAGGCAGCGAAATAAAATGTACAATTTGCATAAAAAAGGCATGAACACATTTACTTTTAATTTAGCAACTTGCATCAGTTTGTGAGTCTGTGAACAATTCCCATTTTTTAATGTAAATTTTATTCTGTAGGCCTAGTTGTCAGTTGGTCAATTCTTGATCTTATTTTCTTCGTAATTTGTAAGAATGTACCTACATAAACTGTATGTAAGGGCCTGTTTCTACTGGAAAAAAAAATTGATTAAAAATTGCTTTTTCGAAAAATCACTTTTTTTCTCGCAGTGGAAATGGGACCAGTTTGAAAAAGTGATTAAAAAAAATTGATTAAAAACATGCAATGGATAGTGTGTTTGAACGGCAAATAACCGATTTTGGCTGTGAACCTTTTAGCTGCAACACAGAAAAGCGATTATCAGGTGAAATGTGACCTCCAGGTTAAACCACTGCAAAGCTAAATCGTATCAGACGCAAACTTTCAAAATGAATAGTCCTCATGCTCATGTTCATGTCCAAGGCCTACAAGCTAAAACGTCAACAAACATGTGGAGTGACGAAATCGTTTTGTAATTATTTTGTGGGGGGATATCGGGCCTACTAGGCCTCCCGCTCTTTTAGGCCGACTGTTGTCCTCATTTGGTTGCTCATTCGTTGTGCCGATTAGCACAGTCTAAAACATTTGTCTTCTCGCTGCACACCGTTTACTCCTTGTCATCATGACAGGAATGAGAAAGATACTGTACAGTTTGGACAACATGTTCTATAAACAAAATGGTGACTAATTTCCGTCAAGGAAACCGATTTTCGTAAAATCAAAAATGCAGTTGCAACGCAGGCAGGCTATCTTGCACTCATTAAAAAAGCGGTTTTAAAAAATCGATTATTTTGTGTTTATCAGTAGAAACACACCCTAAGAGAGCCGGACTGAGGGGCAAATCAGCATTAACGCTTTAAACTTTAGTTTCCAAATCAAGGTAAATCAAGGCTATAGCTCTACTTAAAGATGTACTATCAGTCAAAATACAGGAAAATACCTCAAAAAAAAAAAAATTGGATAGCTAATTTAAAGGAATTAAATTAATTATTAGCTTCCACTTTGAAACTGATCGAACAAAAATTGTTTTGACCGATATACAGACTTTTACTAAAAAATTCTTTAAATTCGCTGGTATTCAAGCAAACTTCTATGGTGTTATTTTTATGTAATGAAATAGTACCTTACCATACTTTTAGCCACTTTGCATACTGGTGAAATGGTATTTTAGAGTTAGATTGCCAAGGTGAACCATCTTAATTGACATCCACCTTCTCACCGTCTGGCCACTTGGGCATCATTGATTGCAATAGTAGGTAAATGGGAAGGTAAACAGATTCACTGTGAGGAGGAGTTGTGATCCCCTTAAAGGCTAGCACCGGGCATACATTTTCTCTTCACTATGTGTTCAAATACATTATTATAATATATCATATGAGTAATCTCGACAAAAAATTCGCCAATTTGACTGAAAACGAGAATATAAAAATCCACTTAGAACCGCAGAAATCAAGCAGTCTACTTTTTTTCACTAGCTAGGTTTTAGAATACTCCAAGCATGATGAGAAAACAAATTACAACACACTAAAACTGTCAACTAACGACACCGCGAGAACGTGACATCCCGCTGCTGTGGATTTCACCACACTAACCTGTAAAACACCTGGGTCAAGATGGTGTACAATAAACATAAAATTTGCCATAACAGAATCAATAATACAATTGATAAAACTACAAAAAAAAAAATGACAGAAAAGAGTAGTTTATGGATTAACTTGCATATAAAACAAAGACCTAGGCTAGGCCTAGTATCAAAACCAGCCCAGTTTCTAGGCTAATCGTCACATAGTCATATCTCAGCCAGTCAACAAATCCGGTCTAGCTAAGAGAACTGCAGAATAGTACTAATACCAATCTTCCTACCAATCCACGCATTGCCTGCCCAGTGTAATTTGTAGGAATTGTTGTAGGGGTAAGCATTATACACCTTGATGTAGGCCCTACTAGGCCCCTAGGCCTACTACTGAACTGCACAGGAGGCCTAGGCCTGTAAATATTACTATTACTATAGTTATTAATGTAAGGCATATTGTTGCCTCGTTTATTCTCTGAGAATTTCCCTTTTTTGATTCGTAGACGAGTTTGAACATCCTAATATCAAGGCACAGTTTCTTGAATGTATCATCGTCAAACAACTGTGGTCTCCCATTTTTCCTTCAATTCTTAAAGTAGCAAATGATACCACATAATAATGACAACTGACCGAATCGTCTCAACTCGTCCATCCTCCTAGCCGGGCTGGGAATGAATCCCGCTGGGCTAGCATAGGTACCTTCTCCATGTCGACGATTTCCCAACGATATAGGGCCTAGGCATCACCTCTGGCTCAAAGGCATCCATAGCTAGACCTAGATCGAGGAAATCTACCACCAAATCTTCCCGTCTATCTTTCCACTATTACTACTCAACCAAAATAGGCCTACTCCTGTGTCATCTTCTCTCACATATTTTTTTTTACACGAAAGGAATGGAGTGAGCGAGAACAGCAGAATTGATTGGCAAGTTAGCGCATGTGCAAAGCTCAGAGCGATTGACTCCCCGGAAAGTGAAAAAAAATCAAGTGGGTACGGTGGGGAATAAATGATAATTGCGCAGAAATACGTACTTGACATAAAATAAAAACTCCAGAAACGAAAAGTTCGGCTAAATTCACCCCAGTTTAGTCAATTAGTGTAATTTTTTGCCCTATTGTTTATTTGTTATGATTTTTTCAAAATGCCTGCTCTTAAGGTTATTTGTGTGCAAAAGAATAGGAATTTTGCTGGGTAAGTTTACCTATACCCCCACTTTCAAAAAAGTACTTATTTTCAAAAAAATCATGTAGCAAAACAAAATTAAGAAAAATCCTGAAACATAGGTGAATCAATAGATTGATAATAACTAAAATATATAATCAATACATAATTTTTGCCCGGAGCTGGCATTTAAAGCATTGCACAGTCTTTCCCCCCACCCAACGAATGAGAGATGGGCACTCTGACCTAATGGCAATAAGGAGCTGATGGAGCACAAAGGGAGAGTAGGGGCTTGATTAAGTGAGTGGGGTGCAAAATCAGATAATATCAGGAAATTTATAACTATTTAAGTGTGATTTGGCTTTGGACATTTTCAATGGGGGGGATAGTGGGGTGGACTTTATCTCCCTGTGCACCCTTCATTGAATAGATATAGTACAGTAAATTACTTACTGGATATTAGAAAAAAAAATTAATATAAATTCAATACTAGGCTAATAATAGAGGATACAAATTTCTTGAACAATGGGCAGCGAAAAATGTAGACAATTTTCTGGTATCATTTCTTGCAGGAGATCTCAACTCAGTAATTATGGCAAGTGAGAACCATGGCTTACCACCTGAGGACCACATTGATCATTGGAATGGGGCTACAAATATCTATATGATTGTCATTGTGGTCTCTATCTGGCTTGTTGTTTATCTCAAAAAGTAAGTTCATTTATTTTTTTGAAATCAAAACAATTTTTTTTTATGGGGGAAAAGGGGTGTAGCCACCCATATTTTACCTTTCCTCCGCTCCCCCAATTTTTTAAATATTCAAAAATCTGTATCTCTAACTGTTCCCAACACCGATTTTGTGTCCGCTCTACAACGTATCAAAAAACTGTTTTCCTCTGGAGCCTGGTATGGCCCACACCCATACGCAATTCAGCACAATGACGCTGCAAGTTATGGGTTATTCTCCTACCTTTACCTAAGCACCTTTAACTGTCATTCACTTTTGTATAGTCGTCACTCAAGAATAATTATTTTATAGGGGTTTTTTTTCTGTCTTTAGGAATAGACGATGGATGGCAGGATTTCTGAAAATGCAGAGAAACCAGGAGAATGAAGATGCAAGAAAGGATCGACACAGTAATGATCTGAAACAAGTTAGGCTTAGACAACAGTTAGAATCTTATTATAACAGTAAGTCAAACTTGTAGCTGTGTGGCCTCATAAATCCCCATAAAGTGTATTTAACCTTTAACCTCTTAGATAGTATTTGACCATAGGTTAGAGGTTCGAATCCTGTCAAAAAAATGTTTTTTTTCCGTAACTAAAACACTGCATTGGTCATATTCATTAAATGCTCATTTTTTTATGATAATATCTCGGCATCTGCATAATGCCTCCACAGTTTGTTCCCAACTGTCTTTATATAAGGAGCCATATTTGAATCAGAAGTCCTTGTACAATGTGGGTTTCTACTCCATATAAGCCTCTGCATTTTTTCCAAAGAGCTATGCCTGCTGGATCTTGTACTGCATAAAGCCTCTGCCTAAGCCTTCTTTTCGAACTAGTATTTCTAAATCAGCTAGATTCCCACTGTATAACATAGGTTAAAAATTTCCCACACGAATAGAATATACGAGCGGTACGAATATATGAAATGTGTAGGCTGCCGGCATTTTGACCTCTGAAGATTAGTGCCAACAAATTTTCACAAAAAAGTGATGCAATAATGACAAAATGATTATTATTGTTTATTTTCGGTAAATATTTCAGCCGAACCATATTTCTTTCCTATACTTCTTTCTTCCTTTGCTTCTTCCATATTTTCGTTTAATTTAACTTATTTTACTAAATACATATTTATGCATAATGTTTATATAAATACATATTATATACATATATCATTCGATTAATAATTACATATTTTAACTGGACTCTAGAACTAGGTCTGTGTATACATTGTGTCTGTATTTAACATATTTCAATCTTTATCAATCTAAAGTTGAAGGTACGTCCTGGTCCAGACCCTTTAATGTCACTATTGGATAGGCTTAACTTCATAAGACTTCTACAAATGGATACCTTGTTCGAAGCAAGAAATCAAGTTGTCTTTACCCAGTACCGCTTGTATTTAATTCGTGTGGGAAATCTTTAACCTATGTCTTCTTGATAACACACTTTATATCAAGGCTTTAACATTCTTTGTCTATCTATCTAAATACCTGCTGGAACCTCCACTCTTCCTTCTTGTCCACCTGCTGGATTTCCACTCCATCCACCTTCTTTGCCAACTATTCCTATAACTGCTTTATCCCCCACTGCATAAGGCCTCCAATTTCTGTTAAATATCGTATCTTTTGGATCCTTCACATGATATTATACTAAAGGTAAAAGTAACCCATGTTCATTAATGAATGTAGGGGAATGTGCTGTTAGGAGCCCATCGTACTAAGCCTTGGCATTGTGTGGTAGGGATAGACCAGTTCCTTTCCACACCACATTTTTAACCTCCCCAGTTTATTTCAATCATTTCCCAATTTATATTTGTGGGTGAAAGGATGATCAAATACACTACCACGATGTAATTGAATTGCAAATGGACAGGTCTGATATCATTTTGTCACTTGACCATTTATTGTAAATGCAGGGGATGCAGGGCATAGATGTCAAAAAATTTGTAGTAGATCAAGATTTTTTCAGAACTTTCGTCAAACATTACAATTACAATTTTTATTTACACATACTCTTGTCTTATTATACCTACTGGAATATATGTAGCCAAAAGAAGACATAATTCAGGGGCGGATCCAGAATTTTTCAAACATGGAGGCACAACAGTTTCAGAATAGATAATTGAGTAGCACATAACATTAACATGCATTGAAATTTTTAAAATTTAGTGGCAAAACAGGCACCCCTTTAATTAAGCTCCATTCTGAAAGAAGTGGTTTGGCGCAGCGTGAAAGGTTTGGTTTCCCAACCTTGAGGTCGGGGTTTCAATCCCTCGCTGTGCATTTCGCTTGTGTTCTTGAGCAAGGCACTTTATCTGCATTGCTTCTCTCCACCCAGGAGTATAAATGGGTACCTGGTGGGGTTGCTTTCTCCTGCGCTGAATACAGCAGCAACTTAAGCATGTGGATCCAATGACCAGGGACAGAAGCGCTTCGTATCTGCAAAGAAAGGCACTATATAAATAAATATGAATAGAATAGAATAGAATTCTGTTAAACTTCGGCAGTATAATTTCAACCATGTACCTAATTATATTCCTGGGTGGGGAGGGACAAACATAGGTAAAGTGCCTCGACCAAAGACACGAATGAAATGCACAGCGAGGCTTCGAAACACCAACCTCAAGGTTCAGAAACTGAAGCGCAACCACTGCCCCAACTACAAAATTTACTAACAAGATAGAAAAATGTTGGGAATTTAAGAGATCAAAATAGGTCAAAGTTGACCAAGCTCAACTTTCACAACTATCACTATTCTAGATCCCCACTGCAATAGTCCTCTTCCCTCTCTATCCTTCTTTTATAACTGCGGAACTGCATTAATTCTCCATCTTTTTTGACATCAATCTCTGCTGGATTCCCTATTGCATAAAGCTTGCACCTTCTCTTTCCAACTGTCTTTATTTCTGCAGACTCCTTTTTTTCCCATCCCCTGCCCCAAACTTCCTTTTCCGAATATATCTTAGTTTGTGCTGACACATCTTTGCCACAACCCCCTGCCCTATTGAACCTAATGCCTTTCAATAAATGTGACTTTTGTTGAGTCATGTTTACTTAAATTGTACTTCTGTTGTTGCATCATTAATCGTTAATACATACACGGAGGTCACTCCTACTGGGGTATCATGCGTCAAATGAGTGGTAATTCTATTTTTATCTTATCTTTGTTTGATAGCAAGGAAGTGGGAACAGAGCCAAAGCCAAGACCACAGAGTAAATATGGAATGATGAAATGGAAAAAAACCAAACCATCAGTATGAACTGGAACCAGCATCCTTAGGATATTGTGTGCACTTATGGGTACACCATAAGATGGTGTCTTGCATAAGCAATAATTACAGGGCTGTAGGTATAACTGATAATTGGGTCCCTGGTAAGCCATAAAATGGGGCCCTATGGTAAACCATGAAAAATGCACATCTGCAGCAAACCATAAAATGGTGCAAAAAAAACCATTAAATGGTCCAAAAACCATAAAATGGTGTCCCAGACTAAACAATGAAATGTGTTTTTAAGGTACACCATAAATGGGGCCTCAATGTAGATGTTAAAATGTGGTTCTAGGATAAATAATTAATGGGAGCCGGGTACATAAAAATATATTCTTGCACTAAAGTATTTTATGTGTCTGTGATGTACCACAGACTTTGGCCCTGGGTTAAACCATAAATAGGGGCCTAGTGTATGAATAGAGTGCCATGGTAGACCATAAAATGGTATCTTGGATAAACTATATTATGGGATTCTTTGGTAAACTGTAAATGGTTCTATGGTGTATGGAATAGAATCCTATGATAAACCATAAAATTAAGTCAAGGATACACACTATAAAATTTAGGAATAAAACATGAAGACAAATCTATTATTACTATTGTACATAATGGTGGAATTTTTTACCAGCATACACCAACTGTTAAAATGTTTTGTTTAAAAAGGTGTTGATTAAATCTCACATGGCAAAAAGAAAACCAACTTTGTGTTGCCCAAGTCCAACCAATTCAAAATAAGGAAATCTTAGGGTCTAGAGGTTTTTTTTAACCAGAAAGGAGTAAAATTTTACTGATGATTTTTTTCAAAGGCCACTTTTTAAGCTTTAATTAATAATAAACTTGATACCTTAGCATGGCTTTTAGCCCTGGTCACTTTTTAACCTGAGAGCTATGGTGGTCACTGAACTTTAAAGTTAGGCCTGGCAAAGCAGTAGAAAAACAAAAAGAAACCAAATTTGCTGATAGATTGGCCTTGATTGCCAAATGTCACGCTGTTCTTGAGCAACAAAAAAAGTTTTTGGCCAAGAAAGCCATTACTATATATTGTGTAATAATGTGTAACCGGAAAAGTTTGGCAAAGGATGACTGTAAAATGTTAAATCAGTAGTTAAAGTTGCAAGCCAAGTAGGGTAGTCGTGTGATTGGCTAAGCTTGTACACACATACACTGCTAATCATGTTCAAAGTTTACACATTAATTCCAATCAGGCTTCTCTGCCATGAGGCCAGGCATCATGCCATATCTTTTTTTAGTCACATTTGCTTGTAGTATATGGTGATCATCTGATGCTTAAACAATCTGGACTGACCCACAATCGAGTTTGCCTTGAAATGTCATTAAAATGTCAAGTACTACTTGAACATAAATGTGCATATTAAACCTAATTTGAAATTACGTATATAAATATACATTTAGATATTTCAGTCTTCATGTAAAAACTGGGGAACTAGATATTATCCAAAAAGGTATTTTTATGTTTAAGGATATTTGATTTGATATATATATATATCTGTCTCTTATACACATCTAGATGTGTATAAGAGACAGCTTAAAGATTGTAGACATTACACACCGACTGGATCAGTACTCAGTAGAATTAGTGGTCTTAGATCCTTGGCTGATTATTTGATTGGTTGATTGATTTATTGATGACTGACTGACTATAATGTATGATAGATATTGTTAGTAGTGGATGAAGGGTGTTCAATGAAAGGGGAAATGGACTTGGATTTTTTTTTTCCTTTTGCCAGAAAATTTACCATTTTTATTGTCAATATAGTGAAAATATTTTCCAGATTTTCACTTTTAACTAATCAATTAGTCAAGAAATGTATATATCACCTAAATCAATAAAAAAAAAAAGTGTACTGTACAATGTTTTGTTTGTTCTACTGATTAAGATATTCAAAATGTTGGTTTCTCATCAACCTAAGTCGTAAGGTAATTGAGAAGGATTTGTATTAAACTGTTAATTACATTACACTTAGCTCGTTGTATACTTTGCACCTATGATCATATATTTTTCAATCGAGGCTTAAAGAATATTTGTGTAGCTGCTACTGTTATGATTTTTATTATTATTATTATTATTATTATTATAATTATTATTATTATTATTATTATTATTATTATTATTATTATTATTGTCATAATATTATGTATTATCATTATTATAGTATTATAGTAATATTATTATTATTGTTATTATTATCAATGTGTCACAATGGTTGAATATTATATTGTTTATTCTTAACCAATGGCCAATACATAAAAAAAACATGAAAATATCTTAGTCTACCTTCTGACTTGGGTTCATTTCAGTGTAAATATTATTTAAGTTAATAAAGAAAGAATTCATATGCATTTTAACTTCATTGAGATTGTGTGGAAGCTGTATCATTTCAGCAGTGGCTCAGTCTGAGTATGGGACTACCTTAACTTATGTGCATCTTAAGAACCAACGATTGTACAAACATTATTAACAACGTTGTTTCCTTTCATTTCATTTACAGTATTTATTTGACACAAAGGCCCTGCGACTTCTAACGAAGCAATTGCCTCTATGACTCAATGAGCCAGAAGTCCCAAACATAAATGAAACATTAAAAATGTTACATAATCACGTACCATGAAACCTCGAATAGAAGCCCAATGGGCTTAATCTCGAGAAGAGGCCTAAACTCGAGAAGAAGCCCATCTCAAATTATCAATATGTGTCACAATGGTTGAATATTATATTGTTTATTCTTAACCAATGGCCAATACATAAAAAAATTTACAGAATTCATTTTGAAGAATTCCCTTCATGTATTTTGCAAAAGTAGCCCCGAAAAGAAGACATTTCGATGAGAAGCCCATCCAAAGGTCGCATAAAAGAAGAGGCCCAGAGCTTCTATTTGAGCTTTTACGGTATATAACATTCGTTTATATAACGTTCTCAAGCACTACTTTAGCACTACTTCTGTAACACATAGTAGATATAGAATATAATGCAGATACAACGTTTTTGAATATCGTGAAAGTATGATGTTTTTATTAGTGTTCTAGAACGTTTTCAAAACCTATGTCTAAACATTTTAATGTAAAACAGCAACTCCAGACACTAACGTTTATGTCGTTACTCAGAAGGTAATTACAACATTTGATATCATGTTAAAAACTTTATCAAGGACGTTGTTAATACACATGTTAAAAGAGGACATTATTGGGACGTTCATTGAAAACTTTACGTAATTAAAAGCAATTCTGTCAAAAATGTTACAGGCCTAAGAACTTTTTAATAACGTGGATTTGACTGATTGGAACGTCTGTTAAAAATGTTATATAGTAACGTTTTCATAACATTTGAACGCAATGTTTTCCTAACATTTGAACACAATGTTTTCATAACATTGCTACAAACTTTAAAAAAATATAACATAACGTTATTTTGAAGTAAATTTATTAGATGGGAAAATACAAGTAGGATGAATCGATAAAGGAATAGTGCGAGGGGACCGAGATCGGAACCCGCCGATTCCAATCTTGCTTGTGTCTTTCATTGGTAAGACAAATTTGTTGTAAATACTCGTCCTTCGGATTGAACGTTACGCTGTTGGCCCCATGTGCATAATAGCACGTGCACGAAATATAATTTCAGGGGATTGTCCAAGGAGGTATGAATAGACCTACCTAAGTGGATTGCCTTACTGTGTAGGCCTACTGACAGTCACTACGCTGCAGATGCCGCGGGTCCCCTGAAGCTTATCTGCATTATTTTATTTTATTGTTTATCTTTTTATAAAGCATCGTTCCATCCTGTTTATTGGCGATTGTACTTGCTGTTGGATGTGAAGGAAATAATAATAATTAAAAAAAACACGTTTACTTATCAATTATGTCTTAATATATACAGTATCATATTTGTCTAAGAAAATGTAAAAACAATGAAAAGACGATGTACTGTACAATCATTGAAGGTTCAACAAGACTTGCGGAGCACAAATTTATTAAAATATAATAAAATAGAACAGATTCGATAGCTCCTGCTGTCTTTATCAACGTTAAATTGTTTATTGGCAACCTTCAATTATTGTACATCGAATTGTCATTGTTTTTGCATTTTATTTTACTGTAGGCCTACTTGGAGCGCACATGCAAATCCACTCTTCAATATGTATTTGTCTATGATAGCGCCCTGTTTTTAAACTGATATTATGAACACCAAAAATGTCTATGATGACATCGCAGACCTCGTGATTAATATATTTCGATTGCATCACAGAGTGTATGTACCGTCAGAAATGTATAGCCAACTTAATTATGATAATTTCGTATTACGAGTAGGCTGCAGTTGTATTATCGATACTGTATTCGTTACAGTAAGGACGTCACGGTCACGAGGTTAAGCGTCTGCTGAGTCAAAACAAACACACCTCTTGTCTCTGAAATATCCTTACCTAGTATTGGATGATACTAAATGCCATTCACCGGTATAACCAATCACCACCTTTGTTATGAAACACACTTTGCGCTGATTGGACAGTGTGTGGAATGATTATGAATGAATCAAGATACTGTACAAACGACACGCCAAAAAGGGCACAACCATATTACGGCAACATGCATTACTCCCACACACATATGTAACCGCAACGTTGCATGTAATGTATGACCATGCGAGTTTTACTACTACTTTGTTTCTGTACGTAATATGTTAGTATGATATTTAGCAGGCCTACCAACATGCTCATATCTGATACATTTTTATAGCTTTTTAGTAAAAGGCCATCAACTTTAGTTTGTCTAGGCCTAGGCTAGCTGGCCTTTCGTTATTGGCCTAGGGCACTGTAGGCCTAGCCCTCTAGTAGTAGTAGGCCTAGCCTAGTACTAGTAGTGCTAGGTAGTACGGTAGTTGGCCTAGCTCTATAAACATAGTCTACTTAGGCCTAGTTGGGGGGGGGGGGGGCTAATGAACTTTCGCACC